TGTCCCAAGTAGAATGTGACCAACATAGAAAAACTGCATTCAAAGAAGGAAAACTGGGCTCTGCACCAAAGCTTTCAAGCCATGGGAAAGTTTACTTCAGTACCAACTAGGTAGACAGGGACCAATATCATATAACACACTTTGCAGTGAGTCTACATGGAATGCATTGGCTGTGGCCAACATTAATGCCAGCCTTCAGTTAATTCAGAAATTACGATTCTCTAGGTAGTGGCTGCACCCTTCTTTCACCTGAGCTCTGCCAATCAGCACTCAGGCCATTCTGGTTACTTAGGGTGCAACGATAAAGCCCAACTAGGGTCTTTTTTGCTGGAACTCTGAAAGAAAGTTGCCCCTACTGGTTCATTGCTGAATTAATATATTGCAAACCAGAATCATCAACTGATACACTGCAGTGTCAGGTCCCACAGCTGATACCAGAGATGGAAGGGTAATATATTAGGCATAGGATGAGCAGTTAACCCAAACTTAATTCCCTCCCCCCAAAAAAACTATACTACCAGCTCCTTAATTTATTGACTGCAACACTCATTTTAAGAGTTTTATTTGGTTTCTGTTGCTAATTTGACAAATCAGCTTGGTTTCTGTGTATACTAGGAAGTTAGTTTTAATCTTGTTAGGCTAACCAGTATCCTGAGTCACTTCTGAATAATTATTGTTATATAGAGCCTAACTAACCTAATGATCCCAGAAATTTTATCATGTGTCAGAATCATCTGTCTTCCCAAATAAGTTGACTGCACAAATTCCAGTCAACTTCCTGTTTCATGATTCAACTTGAAACCGCTGCTAACATATTTAACTGACTCCAAGTTTAGAAGCAAACCCCATTGCTGTCGTCCCATTAGTTATTTTCCTTTAAAAAAACAAAAACAACCCCCCCCCCCCAAAACAAACAAACAAAAAACAGGTACCAAAGTAACAGCAGCACTTTGGGAGCCTGAGGTGGGAGGTTCACTTGAGCTCAGGAGTTCCCGACCAGCCTGAGTGAAACTGTCTCTACAAAGAAATACAAAAAATTGGCCTGTGTGGTGGTGTGCACTGTAGTCCATAGCTACCAACAAGGCTGAGGTGGGAGGTCAAGGCTGTGGTGAGCTAAGATCATGTCCCTGTATTCCAGCCTAGGTGAGAGTGAAACCCTGTGTCAAAATAAATAAATGAAGAAAAAAAAAAAAAAAAAAAGAAAACCAGGCATTTTCCACATCTCACTGAGAATAGCTGGTCATAGCTCTCACAGAAGATGGAAAGCCGGTGTCAGGTCACCGTGGCATATCCTCATCCTTTCCATTTCTTGGTCCCATTTGCAAACTTTATTATAGTCTTACTGCTGCTGCTAACTGAAAGGAAGAGCCTGGCAAACTGCATGAAATTATCAGACTAAAATATGCAGTCATTAACTAACATTTATTTAAAATAGTCAGAGATACATCATAGAGATTTTTCTTTTAGCAACAGCAAGTTGACAAAGAAGTACTGGTGGTTGGTGCCAGCTAATGTAGCTCCCTCAGTCCAATGGTTATCACTGGTGGACAAACCATGTTACCAGCTTGCAGAGTTACGAAGTCTGAGAAGCTACCCAGACTTCTCGGGCTGTTCTATATATCCTAGCTACCTGAGCAAAACACTTCTGGCCCTGATCTTTGTGCCACTGCCTTGTGATAAGCAGATATAACTTAAATTCGTACACCAAATATCTACATATTTTCTCCATTTCCTTGGCTGAGTATCCACTGTGGGGGTTTAATTGAAGTGTGCCCTCAACTACACTTGGATGGTTGCTCCATTCAATTTTTTTATATGATTCTCCACTACAAGCTATTTTCACTACGTGAAGGGCCAACATTTGGATTAGGGTTTAGGCTTACAGTATTTAACATGACCTTAGATAGCAGAAATGGCTTGGGGTAATGTATAAATATTATTTTAAAACGAATTTTCCATATGTAGTATCTAATTTTGCATTCCCAGCATCTGTACTATAGTAGGCACTTCTCCAGAGAATTATTGGATGAATGGCTAAATTTCTAACAGATATTTAAAATTAACAGGCTGCTCCAAAAGACACGTTCTCTAACACTGGAGCCAAAAGTAGAAAGCCAGATGCAAGACAATTAACGCATAATAAGCCAAGTGATTTCTAAGGTCCTCAAATACCTTAGCTACCTATACTAATATCAAAACGTTATTTTCATTAGAAAGACAACTTTTTGTTTTATATGAACAGGTGTGATAGAAGGCCCAGCAGGAGGCTTCTATCCCCTGGAGGGGACCTATCATTTGCCCTCCTCCCATGAATATACGAACTTTTTCCTTTTCTTAGGAGGCAGATAGGATTAAAAGACATGATTATGGTCTTTGAGGCTCAAGGTTATCTGGACTGCTTTAATAAAAATGTTGCCTATGGCCAGGTGCAGTGGCTCATGCCTGTAATGCCAGCTACTAGAAAGGCTGAGGCAGAACTGCTTTACCCTGGAAGACAGAGGCTGCGGTGAGCGGAGATCACATCACTGCACTCCAGCCTGGGCAACAAGAGCAAAACTCCGTCTTAAAAACAACAACAACAACAAAAAACCAGTTGCCTATCTATGCTGACAAAGTAAAAGACTGTTAATATCCACTGGTTTAGAAATAGTTTCCTTACTACTTTGACAAACATTTCTATAAACAGAGGATAAATTCATCTCTTTGTATCCTAATTATGGTGACTGCATTTAACCAGAAGCCAACATAGGGAATGCAAAGGTAGTAAATTCATCCCCAAACCCCAGTGTCTGTGCCATACAAAAAGTTAACTCAAGTCTTAGGTAGTTACCTATTATTTTGTGCAATCTGGAATTACTTAAAATATAAAAACAAATAAGCTCAGTTTAATCTTGACTGAATATCAGAATTTTCTTCTTTAAGTGCGTTTCTTCTCTAGGGACACCAAGTCATCTCCAGTCAGACATATTATATAGATACAGGTACTACATCTATTAATTCTATTCAGTGAATGTTGAATATGCCTTAAGCAAAGCAGGATCTACTTCATTTGTTGAGGACAAATGACCATACTCTGTTTAGCATGTAAAAAGCTGTTGGTTTATTCAGCTGCCAAGCTGGGGAAAGGCTTCCTTTTGAAGTGAATAGCAAAAAAGCATTTATGAGCAAGGCACTTATATACACACACACAGAGAAAATGGAACACATTCTGGATACATAAACATCAATATATTTTAATGTGCAGAACTCTTCCCTATTTCATCCCCCCTCTCCTTAAACAAATAAAAGGAAAAGAGTTTCTTGTAACATTTTAGAAACCAGTTTCTAACAGAATATCTACATATGAACAGTTTCTGATATCTCCAATTACACTAACAATATGATATGGTTTTAGGCAAATACTTTTATTCTGCAATTCCCTTTATTTTCCTTTAGACCAGACAGCTAAGGCTCAGCAGAAACATTAATTAGGTTGTAAGAATTCTTCTCTCTTCTTAAAGCTGCTATATATTTACACAATTTCTGATTCCTAACTGCTTTTTTTTTTTTTTTTTTTTTGAGACAGTATCTCACTCTGTCACCCGGGCTGGAGTGCAGTGGTGTGATCTTGCCCCATTGCAACCTCTGCCTTTTGGGTTCAAGCAATTCTCCTGCCTCAGCTTCCTGAGTAGCTGGGATTACAGGTGTGTGCCACATGCCTGGTTAATTTTTATATTTTTAATAGAGATGGGGTTTCACCATGTTGGCCAGGCTGGTCACGAACTCCTAACCAGGGAAAAGCAAAACTAAAATAAGGAAGAGGATATATATATTTTTCACAATCTCTTTTCTTATTCCCTTTAGATGCCCAGTCAACCAGGACCAGGCAGATTTCATTTCTGAGAGTATATGAGAAGATTAAATAGTCTCATGCATTTTATGTATATTGATTTCTAGGTTTTGACTCATTTAAATAAACAAGACTTATTTACAAGGGCACATACTCCTGTTTGGCCAGAAGAAAATCCGTAACTAAATTTACTTAGAAAAAAATGCTAAAACTCAACTTCAGATTGTATTAGGCTGAGATTTTTCTAATAAGAAGGTTCTTTAAAATTAGAAGGGTTTCCAAAGTTTCCAATGGATGTGGAAAGTATTTGAACTTTTGCTCCAGGAAATGTTATACAGATTAAAATTTTAATCCATTAGCAGTTAACACTGAAAGCATAAATGCTCTCTTAATAATTTTCCATTTGCCTTTCAAAATGTATTTTATTTACTCTTGACAAAAGTCTGAGTGCCAAGATTCAGGAAATACATTCCCTACAGAACATGTGTTTGTTTAATCCCAAGAGATGATCTTATAGGCTGAGTCAGCCGGAGACAGTCTGGTGGGAGACTCTGATATAGAATGTTCATGCTGCAACTTTAAGTACCGAAGTTTGTAGTAGTATATAGGCTTCAACCTGCAGTCCTTCCTGCCCCCCCATAAAAAAAAAAGGAACCCTAACAAGTATCATATGTAGGCACATGTATATAAAAGCTGGAAAAAGTCGTATCCCTGACATTTTCCTTTGTGTACTCAATTTAGTTCAACTACCTCCATGTCAGAGAAAAGTATGCTCAGAAAGGTATTATTGTGGGTAACCAACTTCTTGCTTTCAATAATGGCTGTTCTGAAGTATGGATAACAAAAGGGGTGGTGATCTACTTTTCTCTGTTAATAATCAGATATCTCATTAAAGCCATTCAGAAACGCAGAGTAAATTGGGGTGGGGAGGGTGAGAACTGAGTGAAGAATATTCGACTATTTTTTGTAACATGGTTTCCTTAACTAATTCTCCACTGATACTGTCATTTCTTTTTTGAGACTGAGTCTCGCTGTTGCCCAAGCTGGACTGCAGTGGCGCAATCTCCATTGACTGTAACCTCCGCCTCGGGTTCAATCAATTCTCCTGTGTCAGTCTCCTGAATAGCTGGGATTATAGGCATGCACTGCTGTAGCCGGCTAATTTTTTGACTTTTAGTAGAGATGGGTTCTGCCATGTTGGCCAGGCTGGTCTTCAACTTCTGACCTCAGGTGATCCGCCTGCCTCGGCCTCCCCAGGTGCTGGGATTCCAGGTGTGAACCACAAAGTCTGGCCTTGATATTATCATTTTATCCATAGGATTTGTCAAAGGGTATCCTCACTGGCTTACCAGGGCATAAAATAGTTTGATTGACAAGGCATTGGTGGGCTGTGTAATGACTTTGTACCACTCTCTCAATTAGCAACATCAGAGATATCAGAGCAAATGGTAGATCTTTATAGTGATGCAGTTAGGAGTTTGTTAACTGCCTTTTGGAAGTCAGTGTAAGAATAAGTAGTGTTGATGGGTTCAGTACGAGTTGTTTCCTTAACTGTTTTAGTTAGCCAGCCACAGCAACACCCAGAAACACATGAATTAGGGATCTGTTTTAGGTACTCAGGTATGGGAGTGGCTCTACTCAGTGTTCGGCTTAGCTGTTTGGTGGCAAACTGCAGTGCTCCATTTAGAGTGGCATGATCTCTAGAGAGCCGGCTGGAACTTGTAAGGGGCTTCTGAAAAGGTGGGACTCCACAAGAGGCCAGAGGGGGCCATTCAGGAATTGGTTCCAGTTTGGGGACACAATGGGAACAATGGGAGAGTCTTAGACCTATCTCTCGAAGTATATGGACTGGCGTGCTTGGATCCAAGAGTTTAGCATGATACAACCAGGAATTAGGATTTAAAGGTTTCCAAGTTGTAGAATATTTTAAAAGGCACTTCACCTGCCAGGCAAGACTCTCAAGAGGTGATAAGTTGGGTACCATGGAGTCCTCTTCTTCAGAGGAATCCCACTCTTCCCCAGAACTCTCATTTAGGTAGCTCATGTTTTCTTCTTCCTCACTTTCTGATTCTGACAAGTGGTCAGGAGAAGGATTTCTAGGACCCATCGGAATAAAACAGAGTAAGGAACCAGAAAAAGGTAATAATCTAAGCCAGCATTACACTAACACTGGGAAATAGAAATGAAATGAAAAATCCTTTCACCAAGGTTACTTTGTCTTTCGGTCCATTACACAAATAAAGTATGCTTGTGGCCCACACCACTGTGCAGTTCTTCAAGATTATGTTGAATATTCTTCACTTACAAAGAAGACATCTCAGTTTCCAGGACCAGTTCAGTGTGTAAAAGTATTAGTCACTTACCAGTGGCACAGGTAGGATTATCTCCTTCAAATCCTGGCTATCCAAGAAGAGAAGGGGTCCTCATCTAGGCAAGCTGATTTATTTAGCATAGTCCCAATCGGTAGTGGTACCGTGAAGAGATACTTTTCGTGCTGTTTTGCTGGCAGTGATATAATATCTACTTGATAACGAAAAGAAGCTCAGTAGTTGTCTTGGTTATCCACTGGTATAGCAGCTTTTGTGCAGAGGGGGAATGACGGGATGAGCTGTCAAGAACATCTGGTGTAAAAGGATCCGATGTTTTCACAGGTGATGCAAATGCCCTTGGAAACTGCTGAGTTAGCTGTTGGACTATCTGGAAAGGTAGCCTTAACCTGTGAATGAGAAGACTAGAGACATGATTGTAAAGCTGAAAGCACTGGATAACACCATTACCTAACTTTAGGGTATCTAAAAACAGAATACATGCTGAGCAAGAAGTCTTATAGACTCTTCCCTCTCTATCTCATAGGCTAAGGCCAATTTACCTGTTGGTAATAGCTGTTAAAATCATAGTATTGGGGAGGAGAGTCTAGGGTGATTTTAATCCTTTGTTTGTACATAAATGGGCCAGTTTGTATGCACTTTAGCCTAGAAAATGACTTTGCAAAAGCTGATCCCTTATGCCCCAAACTCTAAATAGAGAGCTATAAGAGGTATTTTTTTTTTTTTTTCACCTTCAGTGGTGCTTGTTGGGATTAGTTTTAGGGGGCCTGTCCTGGTGGTAGAGCTGCTAGATGTTAGGATTCTTGCTGGGACCTCAGAAGTTGTGATCATATGACCAATTTGATACAAGCTGTTCCACAAAAAAGAAAAAAGCATGAAAACTGACCAGCTCCTTTTATAAAGATAATAAAAATCAATTCCAACTTAGGGATGAACCAAATAAGAAAATTATAGGCTCATTTCACTTGCAAAATCCTAAATATCACTTAACAGAATCCAACAGTATATTAAAGAAAAAAGAATATGCTATGATCAAATATGGCCTATCCCAGGAAAGCAAGAATAATTCAAATTAAAAAAATGTCTAAGGGGTGCCATGGCTCATGCCTGTAATCCCAGCACTTTGGGAGGCCGAGGCTGGCAGGAGTTCAAGACCTGCCTGACCAATATGGTGAAACCCCATCTAACAAAAATTAGCCAGGCATGGTGGCGCACACCTGTAGTCCCAGCTGCTTGGAAGGCTGAGGCAGATGAACTGCTTGAACCCAGGAGGCAGAGGTTTCAGTGAGCTGAGATCCAGCCACTGTAGTCAAGCCTGGGCAACAGCAAAACTCTGTCTCAAAAAAAAAAAAAAAACACAAAACAAACAAACAAACAAAAAAACCCACAACTAAAAAAAATTTGATAATTTTATTGAATGTGGATATTTAACCTTTGTTAGTTCCTCATCAACATGTATTTATGCTTTAAAAATAAAACACTTTTACTAAACCAGAAAGAGAATGTAACTTTCTCAATGTGGTAAAGGTTATCTACCAAAAACTATAATCCTGAATGAGATGAGATACATTTCCTTTAAAAGTGAAGTCTGGGGCAGGGCACAGTGGCTCATGCTTGTAACCCTAGCATTTTGGGAGGCCCAGGCAGGAGGATCACTTGAGGTCAGGAGTTCAAGACCAGCCTGGGAATATACTAAGACCCTGTCTCTACAAAAATTTTAGCCAGGCATGGTGGTATGTGCCTTTAGTTCTAGCTACTTGGGAGGCTGAGGCAGGAGGATTGCTTGAGCCAAGGAGATGGAGGCTGCACAGTGAGCCGTGATCACACTGATGTACTACAGTCTGGATGACAGAATGAGACACTTCTGAGACTCTTCTCTATAAAAAATAAAAAGATGAAATTCGGTAAAGATGACTATGTTGACTGAGTCGGATACTGTCTGACACGGTATATACTAAAAGCCCTAATGAATGCTTTTCTTTCTTTTTTTTTTTTTTAAACAAAAGATATGTTAAGAATTGGAAGAAGTAAATCTATTAGTTTATAGATGATATCATCTAATTTAAAAAAAAGCCATACAAACTATTAGACTTCAACAAGGTTCCTCAACTGAAATTAACCTACGAATATTCATTTATTTAATTACTTATATAGCACTTACTATCTGCCATATCCTACTCTTGTGAACTGCACAAATGTTAACTATTTTAAAATTCTTCTAACAACCCTAAAAGATAAGTACTTTTATTGTCCCCATCTTACCTGTGGATTAAGTTATGTAACAAAAGCCATTCATCTAGTAAGTCATAGGGTCAGTGTTTCAACTCAGGCACTGTTAACTTTTATACCAGCAATACTAACTAGACCATATATAAGGGCATTTCACAGAAGAAAAAAGAAACAACAAAAATCTAATCCTATAAAGAACTTAGGAACTCATTGATATACAGGATCTAATAAACAATATAGAAGATAATTTAAAATACAGACATTCCATGCTCTTGGATGGAACAAATATCCTAAAGATATCAACTCTCTCCCTATTATTTACAATTCCAATCAAGATTTTAAGAAACTCTACAAACTTTAAAGTTTATACAGAAAGGATAAAATTCCATATATAGCCAAATGAACTGTTTAAACAGAAGAGTGAGGGAGTTCCTATTCTTCAAGGTATGTCCTGTGACTAAAGTCACAGAAACTAAAATAGGGTAGGATTAGTATAGACAATAGTCCAATACAGCAGAACAGAGCTTAGAAACAGAGCCATATATAATTTGGGAATGTAATATAAAATAAGGTTGGAACATAAACTAAGGGTGGATGGATATGATTAGTACACAATATTGGTACAACTGGCTCATTATATTAAAAAAAGTAAAACTATTGGAGTAAGAATTAAGAAAAAATTAAGAACAAGGTTAAAAAAAAATGAAAAGTAAAACCGTATTCCTATATAATGACATGTATAAGGGAGGACTCACGATAGATTAAAGACCTAAATGGGGATGGTAAAACTATATAGTTAGTTGAATATAATACAGAATATCTTTTTGAACCCAGGCCAGGGAAAGACTTCTTAAACAAAAAGCATAAAGCACCAGACCAAAAAATGAATTTAATTACATCACAATTAAACATTTCTGGACTGAAGAGACCAAGGACAAAGTTAAATCAATTTTTAAAAAAGATAGCAACACAATAAAGAAATGAGCAAAGGACAAAGATAGCCAAATTATGAAAGAGAAAATGCCAACACATGAATAATATGATCACATTATGCTATCAGTTTGGCAAAATCAGAATGGATAATGGGAAGTGTCGGTGAGTTCTCTTATGGTACTGGCACTGCTGTTGGGACTGCACAGTAGAGTAACTGTTCCAAAGAAGAACCTGACAGCACTACTTAGGCAAACTATGCCCATCACATGATCTAGCAATCCTACTTTTGGGCATAGATAGCAAAGAAGTTCAGTAAGAACATGTATGAGGATACACCCTGAAGCTACATCTGTGATGATAGGAATCAGAAGCATTCTTATCACTGGAGGAGCGGACTGGTAAAGTATATATAGCAACACGGGTGTCCTTTAAAGGCACAGCTTTAAATGAGAAAAGAAACAATATCTTGATTCCAATAGAGGTTGATTTTCTCTTGTATTTTTCTTATTTACTATGGGTTACATTTTTTATTTTTCAAATTGGATGATAATTTCCAGGAAATATTTTTTATGTTTTAGTATATAGTAATTTTTTGTTGTTTCAAGCTGAAGTTTACTAAGAGATCCATCAAATTGAGCTGTCTGTTGATAATTTAAAATTTTGGCCACTCTTTTCAGATTTTACATTATTCTTGCTGAACTTCTACTTGAAATTGTTTTTTTTTTTTTTGGATGTGAAGGTGAACATTCCTGATTTGTGTCTGATGTGGAAAAACCTTGGTATTTTACATTTTGAAAATTCATGGAAACTTAATATAAAAGAAAGTTTGTATTCTACTCAGGAAAAAGCATCTTCTTGTATATGTCTTAAATGTATCTTTGTTCTTATTAAGGACCAAGTTCTTAATTGATTTTATAGTCTGTAATGCTTGATGTTTTAAAATCATAACATTTTAATATATATATATTATTTGAGAGGGAGTTTCACTCTTTTTACCCAGGCTGGAGTGCAATGGCGCGATCTTGGCTCACTGCAACCTCCTTCTCCTGGATTCAGGCAATTCTCCTGCCTCAGCCTCCTGAGTAGCTGGGACTACAGGCACGCGCCACTAGGCAGACGTCATATTCTCCTGTTCTTTCCCGACTTCTAATATTGTGCGGAATTTCACAGGTAAAAATCAACAGGATGGAACATTTAGTGTATTTTTACTCCTTACAGAGCTAGAATATAGAGTTTTCACCTTACAAGAAGGAGGAAACCCATAAATACAATGAATCAACTGACTCTTATGTAGTAGACAATTTCTCTAGTGTCCCCTTCTTTCTAGGCTCTATTGCTATGTGAATCCATTAGACTTGCGGTATCATAATATACAAGTTTTCTTTAAAGGTTTCTCCTTTAGAACATAAAATATTATATCATTGAAAAGTTTGGATGTATAACTTTTGATGCCTTAGAAAAATATCCTAAGCACAAAATAAACTTTTCTAACCACTTCAAAAAAAAAAAAAAGAAACAGTATCAATGTCTCATTTATGCTACTCTGTCGGGTGGAGGGGAGGATTTCCAAAATCAAAGTCAGTGAACATTTGCATTATCAAATACACTGAGCTGTGCTAACAAAGATCAAATGGTATGGCTTCAGGTCAGCAATTGTCCACTCATGAGTACTTCTGTGTCTTCCAGACACTCCTAGCATAGTGTCTGGCATATATTAGTGGCTCAGCAAATATATTTGAAAGAATCAGAGAATGGCAAAGGCAGTAAGAAACTACCACAGGCATGTTCTATTTTACTCCAGGGAGAGAAGAGTTTCCAAGTTATATCTTGGTGATTTGATAACGTTAAGACAAAGAGAAATTAGATTAATTTTTAAGGCAGGATCAACATATATGATGCTACTACACTAATATAAAGGAAACTGCTTATAACTTCTTTAAGAAGAAACATTGATGTGATACCTCTAAGTTTAGTTTACAATACTATTACTTAGTTCAATCTGAAAAAGAGTATTCAATCTTTGTCATGGACTGTAAGTCTTTATTAACTGAGACAGAAGTTGGCTTTTCATTGTGCTGTCCTCTAATATTTTTACTGTTTTTACTTCAACCAGACTGTACCTGTGAAATTACTAATTGGCTATACTTCAGTTATTGTGTTACTCAGAATATTTTCTAAAAGGTTCTCACATTTCCATAATTGCTTTTGTTCTTTTTCACAGTACAAATCAAAAGTCAGGAAACATGTAAGCTTTAAGGCAGTGATATTGTGTTGTTTAAATTTAGCATCTTTTAAAAAAAACCTTCAGATTATAATATCAAGAAATACTGACCCTCCCCCATGGCTTTAACCATTAAAACAAACAAACACACAAACAAAAAACACCTAACCAAAATATAGTTAGGCTGACCTCTGGTGGCCGGACGGCTCATTCTTCTATAACTGACAAAACGGTATGAAGTCTCTGTTGGTGAGACAGAAGAATACAATAAAGAAAGGAGGCTGAGGTGGGTGGACCACCTGAGGTCAAGGGTTCGAGACCAGCCTGGCCAATATGGCGAAACCCTGTCTCTACTAAAAACACGAAAAATTAACCAGGCATGATGGTGCACGCCTGTAACCCAGCTACTCGGAAGGCTGAGGCAGGAGCATTGCTTGAACCCAGGAGGCAGAGGTTGCAGTGAGCCAAGATCATGCCATTGCACTCCAGCCTGGACAACAGAGAGAGGCTGTCTCAAAAAAAAAGAAAAGAAATGTCACAAAGCACAACTATGGGCAAAACATATGTTACCCCATTCTTACCTTAACTAGCAATTGAATATCTACAAAGTTTGAGGAATTAAGCAGGAGAATGGATAAGGTATGGCATGTTAATATAACGGAAAACGACAGCAACCTGTCTGTGCCTTAGTTTCCTCATCTTAAAAGAAGATCAGAGTTATCCTACGGGGTTTGTTTGTATGTATTAAATGAAGTGTTTCGTGTCTGGCACATGATAAAGGTCAATTAAGTGCAAGTTACTATTATTAACATATGAATATGAACCACAACAATACTGACTGAAAAAAGCTAGATGTGCATATAATTATTCATTTAATGGTTAAAACATCAAAATAGTACAATATCCTCATTCAGGGATTTATTCATAAGTATATAAAAATCTGCATGATAAAGTTAACAGTAAATTCAGAAAATCCATGACTACTGAAGGAAGGTAATTCAAAAGGAGAAAGTTGTACAGGTGGCTTAGTAATGTTCTATTTCTTCAGCTGGCAGTGGGTTACTGAGGTGTAGGAGAGGGAGAAATGGCTTCCCTCCATCGTCCTGGGTTCTTTGGCTGGGTTATAAATAACACAGTCCTATTTTTGGATGGAGCATCCGGAGACCCAACAGAAGTTTTGTCTGACGTAATTTTATTTACTCTTTTTTATCTTAACCACTACCCGAAAGACCTTTCCCTTCTCGAGTTACCCCTTCATGCACTGTCCTCACGCACACTTCAAAACAGGGCCTCAAGAGCTGCACACCGAGAAACGGCAGCAGCTGAGCTGGCCCGCACCCCGCTTCGCGGCGATCCCCGGGCTGCCCGCACGCCCTGCGGAACCTGGCAGTCGGCTTCACCAGACCAAGGACAAAGGCCTTAAAAGACCGCACCAGTCTCCACCGACCTCGGGTCGCCCCGCGCAGCGGACCCGGCAGCGTCTCCCTTCTCAGAGGCGGCCGGGCCTCTGGAACGCGCTACCTTTCCTTAGTCTCCGTCTCTCGAAACGGAGCCCTTGTGTAGGGATCCCCCGCCCTTCGACCACAAGGAAGATTACTATCCTCGGCACATTTCCCGTTCTCACCCTTGGAGTATCGCTTCTTCTTCCTCCCTTCACGCTCGGCCGCACGATCCAGCTAAGCCTCACGCCAGCAGCCCTACCCCGACAGTGGCAACAACAGTCAACCCCACTCCCGCGTCGCCGCCACTTCCGGCCGAGCCAACGGCCCCTCCCTCTCAGCAACGCCACTTCCCTCTGGGAAAACGGTTGGACTAGGTTGAACCTAGACGCATGCGCCCAAAGCGCGGATTTGAGGTGGGTGGGCCCACCGCTTCCAGCTCTCGCCTCCGAAAGCGTTTGAGGAAGTCTCGCGAGATTTCTCTTTCTCGCGGGAATGATTTGAACGTTTAGGCGGTAAAGACTCCCTGGGCGCCTGGAGCCCCCGAAGGAGATTCCGCGGAGAGCTCCGCCTCAGGGCTGGCGGGGGAGGAGGGCTGGCTGTAGCCGAGCGCGGGCAGTACTCGTTCCGGCAGTTTCCCAGAGCCATGGGAGCGGAAAAGAGGCTGCTGTCGATCAAGGACGCTTTTCGGCTGGCGCAGCAGCCGCACCAGAACCAGGCCAAGCTGGTGGTGGCTTTGAGCCGCACCTACCGCACGGTAAGCGCGCCCGGCCTTGGTCGCCGCCCCGCTCCCGCCCCGGCCCAGCCTCCCTCGGGGGCCTTCCATCGCTCTGGGGCTCGGCGCACCCTAACTCCAGCCTTGGTCACCTTCGCGACTCACTTCAGAGGGCCTTGAGGTTCGGAGAAGTCAGGGACTTACCCGAGGTCGCCTGGGCCCGGGGCAGAAAGACTCCGAAGCCTGGGCGTAGCCCACTCGGGTCCCGCCTTGGCGTTTCTGGCCCGACACCCCTAACCTCGGGGCGGTACGGACCGTTATTCCTTAGTCTGATCGTGAACTTGGAGAGAAACGTTTACGAGCACCGAGGCGACCAGGCATCAAAAATTGAGCCACAGAGTGGATCCTGAACGCGGGGGTTCAGTGGCCGTTGCCCCTGGGGTCATCGCTCCCCGCCGACGGTCAAATGACTCTACCCTCGTCCCACGGTTACATGGAATCCAATCCCTAACCAAATGAGTCGTCAGGGCCTGGGCCTTCCCATTTATGTACGTACTGTTTGTTTTGAGTGGAACCTTGAGAGTAATAGAACAATGAATTTGGAGAAGATGATCTTGAGGCTCAAGAAAAATTGTAAGTCAACGTCCCAGGGCTTTGAGGATATGAGATAGGATGTGCAGATTGTCTCATAAACAATCTGCTGGTGATAGGAAGGCCAGAATATGAGAAATATAAAAGCCAGTATTGATTTTGGGTTGTTGATGAAGAAGCATGTTTGTACTGAACTGGTACTTTGGGATTATTGAGAATTCAAAGATATTGAAAAAAATATCAAATCTTTTCACTGTAAAAAGTCAAGCTTGTGTACTCCAATTATAGCCTGGAGAGAAATTTATGCAAATTGATTCCCCTTTTGCTAGCTTGGATAATTAAGAGTTTGCTAAATAAAGATTTTAATTTGTCTACATTATTACGGCTAGTGCTTTCAGCAGTCTTGAAGTGATGTTGGGAATAAAGGATTTTTATCGATGTAGTTTATAAAGGGTTTCTTTTGTTTTTCAGACTGATGATAAAACAGATTTTCATGAGAAGTTCGTTCATTACCTTAAATATGCTATGGTGGTCTATAAACGTGAGCCAGCTGTGGAGAGGGTAATAGAATTTGCAGCAAAGTTTGTTACTTCATTTCACCAATCGGATATTGAAGATGATGAGGAAGAGAAAGATGGTGGCCTTTTAAATTATTTGTTTACTTTTCTCTTAAAGGTACTATGAAAAGGATCACTTTGGGGAGGGATTTTAGAAATGTTGCCATTTAAAAAGGGTCGTGGAAGTTTGTTTTTGACAATGAAATACCTAGTGATTAAGAAACTGAATGAGTCTATCATTTACAGGAAATCTTAGAATTATCATTATGATAAAAAGGTGGACTTTAACTGCAGCATTACATTTTTAATCACCTCTTTAAACTAGTTCTCCTATGTTTGTTTTAAATGAGTTCTGTATTTTAGAAGCCTCTACAAAGAGGACTGTGTAACTTAGCAAAAACTCTCAGACTGTTTATTTTGAGACTTTATAAAATATGTATTTGCTATACATATGGACCAAGGTAGCATTGTAGGTCTCTTTAGGAAATGAATTGTTGTAACTTCTTGCATTCTGAATGTATAGTGTTCAGATAATATTGATTATTTGGGAGTGGTATGTGACTATGAATAAATTTTGGTTTGTTTCTGTTTTAGTCTCATGAAGCAAACAGCAATGCAGTGAGATTTAGAGTGTGCCAGCTTATAAACAAGCTTTTGGGAAGTATGCCAGAAAATGCTCAGATTGATGATGATGTGTTCGATAAAATTAATGAAGCCATGCTTATTAGGTTGAAAGATAAGATTCCAAATGTGAGAATACAGGCAGTTCTGGCGCTTTCACGACTTCAGGATCCAAAGGATGATGAATGCCCAGTGGTTAATGGTATGTGTAGTTTCTGAAATCTTTTTTTCAGATTTGTTGATTTTGTTAAATTCTCAGTATTTGAAAATTTTTAGTATGGTCTACACATATGGAAGAGTAGAGGTAATTAATATATGAATCAGATTTAAAAAACAAAAACAAAAACAAAAACCTAAGTGGCAACCACCGAGCTTAAAGAAAAGTACCTTTGAAGCCTGCTTACATCCTTTCCCAATGTATCCCTTTCCCTCAGAAGTAACTATTATCCTCAATTTTGAGTTAATCATTTGCTTACATTAGAAAAATTTTGTTTTACATAAATCACGTCTAAATGTTTTCCTATCATTTTGTGTAAACCATGCTGTACTTAAATATTTAGCAGCCAGTTATATTTCTGTATAATACCTGTTACTGTGTTTTGCCCATCTTTCCATCTGGTTTTTAATTTAACATACCATTTTAAAAAATTAATTCATTGGAGTTCTTTATCTATTTTGAAAAGAAATCCTTGGGTTATATGAATTGTAGATCTTTTCCTGTTTTAGATGGCTTATTGGGATATCATTGTTTCACTCCCTTTGTGGTATCCTTTTATGAACAGAAATTCTAATGTCAAACATATTAATCTCTGCCATTATGATTTGTATTTTTAAATCTCTTTTTAAGGAATATTTTTCTACCTCTGGGGTCATAAAGATGGCTGTATTTCATTTTTCTATATATGCCTAGGTATATTTTAGGCAGTCTTCTGTTCTCTCTGTCCTTGTTGCCAGTTTTATAATCACTGGTATATTTATCACAATTATTTGATAGCATAGTAGTTGGGGGGTTATTTGGTGTTAAAAGATACACGTAATAATGTGTAAAACATATATGTTTGATGGTCAACATGTACTTAATAATTAAGATGGGAAAGATGTGAGAAGTACAGATAAATATATTTAAATATTAGAAATGGGTTTGTTTCAGTGAATAAAACCAGAAGATATTTCTTTTTAGGTCTCATTAAAAAATAAAAATAATGGGCCCTTATAAAGCAATATTAGTTTAAAATAAACTGTCTGCTACATTAAACTTGTTAAATATTGAGGAGTAGCACAGACATAATCTAATGATGAATTTCCCATGACGTTTAGTGCTATTTGTTTTCACTTTTGGCCTTAGAGCCATTCCATTGACTAATTCCTTCTTGTGTCTTTAGAAGGGAAGTTGGTGTCCTGTGCAGCAGTGACTCAGGACTATAATCACAGCACTTTGGTTCCAACCTGGGCAACACAGTGAGACCTTGTCTCCAAAAAAAAAAAAAAGGAAGTTGGTGAGGGGGAAAAAAAACTTAAACTAAAATTAAATGTGTAAGACTAAAAAATGACATTATTACTTTTTATTACAGATGGGGGTCTCACTCAGGCTCGATTATAGAGGTGTGGCCTCAAACTCCCGGGCTTAAGTGATACTTCTACCTCAGCCTCCTAAGTAACTGGAAGCGCCACTACCATGCCTGGCTAACTTTTTATTTTTAAAATTACTTTGTAGAGATGGAGTCATCCTGTATTGCCTAGGCTGGTCTTGAAGTTCTCTATCTACCATGGCCTCCCGAAGTGCTGGTTACAGACATTAGCCATCGTGCCCAGCCTATCTTTTATCATATTAAAGACATTTTAAATATCAAAATGTGATTTCTTTTATGACTCTAGTTAAATAATTTCTTCAGGACTAAAATGTATTGCTTTATTTTTAGCATATGCTACTTTGATTGAAAATGATTCAAATTCAGAAGTTAGACGGGCAGTGTTATCATGTATTGCACCATCTGCAAAGACTTTGCCAAAAATTGTAGGGCGCACCAAGGATGTGAAAGAGGCTGTCAGAAAGCTGGCTTATCAGGTAAATAAGTTCAATGCCTTGTGATGGTATATTCTTAAAGGACAAGAAGCCATTTTCTTAAAGTGCTTTAGAAAAATACTTGGCATATAATAATTATTTCTTCAGTTGAGGTTTTTACAGATTTCACAGGTAATTTAGGTAGAATCTTACTGTATTGTGTTACCAGATATTAATTTCTTTTGGAGATTCTGGGTAATTTTCTAAGATGGTGATATTTATTATGAAACCTATAAATTGTGTTGTTTAATGACCATCTTTATAAATTATTTTTAAGGTTTTAGCTGAAAAGGTTCATATGAGAGCTTTGTCCATTGCTCAGAGAGTAATGCTCCTTCAACAAGGTCTTAATGACAGATCAGGTAAGATAAACAACTTTATATATACAAAACTTTAGTGATATTTTGAGGTCAGACAACAAGGTTTAGGAAACAAGTATGAAATCAGGTCAAGTAAGCTTGCCAGTCCCATGAACCTGGTGAAATTTATCTTGTGGTATTATGTAGAAAACATAGGGCTAAAGATCTTGATTTTTTTTTTTTTGAGACTGAGTCTTGCTCTTTCACCCAGACTGGAGTGCAGTGTGATCTTGGCTCACTGCAGCCTCTGCTTCTCTGGTTCAAGTGATTCTCCTGCCTCAGCCTCCTGTGTAGCTGGGATTACAGGTGCACACCACCACACCTGGTTAATTTTTGTATTTTTGTAGAGACAGGGATTCACCATATTGGCCAGGGTGGTCTCAAACTCCTGACCTCAAGTGATCTACCTGCTTCAGCCTCCCAAAGTGTTGGGATTATAGGCATGAGCCACTGCGCCCGGCCAAGATCTTGGTATTTTGAAGGAGCAGAGCTTATTTCTTTCAACCTTTCTGTGTTTTACAAATGGTGAAACAATACTTAAGTCTATAGAGATAATTCATGTCAGAAGTGGGAAAAGATCTATTTGCTCTCTCTCTTCTTAAAAAAAAAAAAAAAAAATGCTGTTCCCTGTGTGTATACCTTGGTATGAATGTGTTCTGTGTATCAGAAACAACAATTAGGAATAGTCTGACCAGTATAATTTCCTTTTTTTTTTTTTTTTTCTGTTAGAGTGGCGTTCCCTAACATTTTTGGCACCAAGGATGAATTTCGTGGAAGACAGTTTTTCCACAGAGGGTGGGCAGAATGGTTTCCTGATGAAATGTACCACCTGAAATCATCAGGCATTAGTTAGATTTTCATAAGGAGAGCGCAATCTGGATAACACCCATGCGCAGTTCACAGTAGAGTGCCTGCACCTATGAGAATCTAATGCCTACGCTGATTAGACAGGAGGAAGAGCTCAGGCGGTAATGCTCTTTAGACCTCGGCTTACCTCCTGCTGTGTGGCCCTGTTCCTAACAGGCCACAGACTGGTACTGGTCTCTGTTCCAGGAGCTGGGGACCCCTGAGAGCATCTGCTTATAGGAATGATATTTTAAAAAATTTTTAACTCTCAAGAGAAGGCCAAGATGGCTCTATTGTGCTATGGTGAGAAAACCGACTTGAGTTTGAAAACATTGTCAGCACTAATTACTAGGATAACTTTAAAAGCTAAAAATAAGGTTTGTTCAGTGATGTGTGCTTGCATAGTTCACTACTATAAATAGCAGCTGTGTAATAGATGAAATCAGGTAACAAATGAAATAATAGCTACTGGATATTCTAAGCTAACACCTGAAGCCCATTGAACCCAGGGGAGGAGGAATGCAAAGGTATTTGTGTAGGCTGTGGTATTTGGTGCTGAACCTTTTTCATTTTTATTTGTGACCATCACAGTGACTTTTGCAGTATCATAGTACTTCTTTTTTTTTTCCTTTAATATGCTTAGTTGTGCCTCTTAATCTCTATCGTTTCTGTTGTAAATATTGACTTTTGTTAATTAAAACAGACAAAATACAGGAGATGGAAGCTAGAGGGAGCCTTTGTTCACCTATGTTTCAAATTACTCAACAGATGCTGTGAAACAAGCTATGCAGAAGCATCTTCTCCAAGGCTGGTTACGGTTCTCTGAGGGAAATATCTTAGAGCTGCTTCATCGGTTGGATGTAGAAAATTCTTCTGAAGTGGCAGTCTCTGTTCTCAATACCTTGTTTTCAGTGACTCCCCTCAATGAACTGGTGGAAATCTGTAAAAACAATGATGGCAGGTATATAAAGGATTCATTCTTTGAAATGTAATACTGATTAACTTCTGCAATTAATTATTTTTTCCTCCCCATAGCTTAAGATTATATTAAAACCTGGCCGGGCACGGTGGCTCACGCCTGTAATCCCAGCAGTTTGGGAGGCCAAGGTGGATGGATCACGAGGTCAAGACATTGAGACCATCCTGGGCAACATGGTGAAACCCCGTCTCTACTAAAAAAAAATACAAAAATTAGCTGGGCGTGGTGGCATGCGCCTGTAGTCCCAGCTCCTCGGGAGGCTGAGGCAAGAGAATTGCTTGAACCTGGGAGGCAGAGGTTGCAGTGAGCCGAGATCGCACCACTGTACTCCAGCCTGGTGCCTGGCGACAGAGCGAGACTCTGCCTCAAAAAGAAAGATTATATTAATACCTTTAATCTTACCTCTCTTTTGTTTTCTTTTAGTCTGATGAATATCTTCTTTTCCTTTTTCCCCTTCTGGTGGAAGAACTCATTACTTTATCATAGCCTATATATATACTTTAGCTATGTTTTTTTTCCTCCAAGTTTCTTTCTTCTTTTTTTTCCTCCAAGTTTTCCTCCAAAGTTTCTTACTTTGATTTTTGAATTAGCCTACAATGAGAAAATCCAACAACATGCATCTCTAGTGTATGTTTGCTTATTTGGTTCTTTTTTGTTCTAAGTTTCTTCATTCCTTTTTGTGTGGATACATTAATGAGTAATTAAAAGGATAGTGGTTTTAAAGCAAATCTTATTCTCATTTTTGTACTCTTCAATTTTTAGTGACATAAAGATCATGCTTTTTTTTATACTCTTTCTTTTAAATGAAGGAAATTGATTCCAGTGGAAACATTAACTCCTGAAATTGCTTTGTATTGGTGTGCCCTTTGTGAATATTTGAAATCAAAAGGAGATGAAGGTGAAGAATTTTTAGAACAGATTTTGCCAGAGCCTGTAGTATATGCAGACTATTTACTGAGGTAAATTTTTTTTCTTTCAGTTTGGAGAATGCTTGTGTTGCTGCATGTGTCAACCTCCCTACCCTCTTCCTCAAAGTCATGCTTGATTGTGAATATGTTAAAAATCCTTTTCTTGTACATGCAGGGATAGTTATTTACATTGAGTCTTTTTGAATGTTTTATGCTGGTATGTATACTGAAAGACAAGTCACTATGTTTAGGATCATTTCTTCAAAACTGTTAAGATATGATTATGAACATTTCTGCATAAAGTTGATAATGATGATATATTATTTCTGAAATTGGTTGGCACATTTTCTGTTAAGTGCCTGATAATAAGTATTTTAGGGTCTTCTGGGCCATATACTCTCTGTCACAATGACTTAACTCTGCCATGGTATTGTAAAAGCGGCCAGTGACAGTGTAAATAACTGTTTAGCAATAAAACTTTTATTAACTTTTATGGCCACTAAAGAGTTGAACTTTAATATTCATGTGTTAACAAAATAAGAAATTTTAAAAAATGATCAGTTAAAAATGTAAAATATTCTTAGCTTGCAAGCTATGTAACAAGTGATAGGCTGGATTTGGTGCATGGACCACAGTTTTCCAATTCACAGCATGGATCTTTGTGGCCAGTTTTATTTATTAAAAACTTACTATTTGGCTTCATGTTTTAAAGTTTTTTCAAAATATACCTTTAAAAAAAATATTTGGATTGCCATAATTACATCTTTTAAGAAATTATTTGGATTAATTTATTTTGTTTTAAAATTATACAAGAAAAACATGAGTGAATTCTTGTCAAAATTCAAATATAGAGGTATAGAGAATAAAAATGTGGAATTCTCCCTTTTATTTCCTACTTCCTCAATCCCATTATCTCCTTAGAATTAGCAACTAAACAATATGGGGTATATACTCAAACCTCTTTCTCTACATGTGTATGTGTTTTTTGAATACAGGTTTCTTTAAAAATATAGCACTCTACATATACTATTTTTTTTCAGCTGGTACCTGAGATTATTATATGTTGGTGTGTATATAATGTAATAGGTGCCATTACCATTTTAACAGTATATCATTCCACAGTATGGTGGTAACATTTAATTTATTCCTCTGTTGATGGACATTTAGGATATTGCTATTTTTCACTGATAAAAGCAAAAGTATGTTACACTTCCTTTACATTTTTGGGTAGCTTTGAGATTTTTTGGGGGTTAATTCCAAGAATTAAATTGCTAGGTCAGAGGATAATATATATATATTTTGACAGATATTGGTATGTAGGTTTTTAACTTTATGCTTTTGGTGTATTTTTTTTAAAAAGCCTCCATATAATATGAATTATGGGCCTGAATTATCTGTATGAAATAACACTTCTCTGCTTTTGTTCATAATGTTCTCACATAGAAGTTAGGCAGCAAAGCTGTGAATGCCTCTAAATTTCCTCTGCAAAAGTCTTAAATCTAGGATAAATATCTCAAACGTGAGCCAGTAGGGAAACTACAGCTCAAGCCCATATTAACATCATGAAGAACCTGTGTGAATCTTAATAAGTGTTTTAATGGTAATTATTTCAGACTTTGACATTTAATTAGAGAATTCATAATAATGCTGTTTGGACCATGTTGAAATATTTCCAAAAGGAATGAGTTTGTGGCAGAGTTTAATAATGTGTATTAATATAAAAGATGTTTATAGAAGATAGTGAAAATACAAGAAAATATCAGGAAATGTTAAATATTTAAAGGGCGTAAAGGAGGAGGGGTTTTCCTCAAGGACGGCATGAGAAGATGACTTGTAAAGAGCTTGATTTTTGCCTTCTGAAAGATCAGGGATTAATATTTCCTTTGTCACTCAGTCTTTGAGTTTTGAAATAAGTAACTTTAACTTCATCGACTTGTTTTCTTCACCTTTAAAGAGGAAAACTTTCAGAAATTTATTTTAATGATTGTTGAAAGAATACCTAAAAAATAGAATGACTTTCTTTTTTGAGCAACATCACTAGATGGGATTAGTATACATGAGTACAGAAACAAAATTAAATTGAAAAATTGTTTCCTAATAATCTAAGGAATATATTTTCAGGCATATTGTATGTTTTAGGCAGTAGATTCAATGACTGGGAACTCTGATGTGAAACAATTGGTTAACTAAGGTGTTCACTTAAAGAGCAAACAAGGAAGTGATGCTTATCAAATTAGATTAAAATGGCCTACAATGAAATTTGTTGAAAGCTGTCTTAAATATAAATTCTTTGACTTTAAAATAATTTCTTGAGTGGTCTCTTCATTATAGTGAGAAGATTTCATGGTAACTAAAATTGGTGGGTCAGTTTCAAGTTGTATTTATGCAGTTGAGGATTTTTAAATCTATTAATTAAACTGTTTGAATTTACTTAAAAAATACCCTCAGCCAAGTTGCTGTGCATTTTGCTAAATATGGAACTGGAGAAGTGGAGAGAGATCCAAAGATGAGTATAAATGAAGGTTTTCTTTTAACTTGTCAGAAAAGAGTAACTCTACTGATTGATTGATTTTGATCGTTATCAGTAGTGTAGGTTTCCTTAGTTTCCTGTTAGAACCTAAAGGGTGGCTGATGTCTTAAAAGTCCTAATCTTGTCGCCAGAAATTTATGAGCTTTTATTTACTCTTGTTTGTCACTTTGTAATACATAAGAATATGCTTATTTATTACATATTATACCACAATTTCTATAACTTGATTTTTGTTGGCTTTTTTTTGTTTGTTTTTTTGTTTGGAGATGGAGTCTTGCTCTGTTGCCCAGGTTGGAGTGCAGTGGCATGATTTCGACTCACTGCAGCCTCTACCTCCCAGGTTCAAGCAGTTCTCCTGCCTCAGCCTCCCAAGTAGCTGGGTTTACAGGTGCCCACTACCACACCTAGCTACTTTTTGTATTTTTGATAGAGATGGGTTTCACCCTGTTGGTTAGGCTCTTCTTGAGCTCCTGACCTCAAGTGATTCCGCAGCCTCCCAAAGTGCTGGGATTACAGGTGTGAGCCCCTGTACCTGGTGACATTTTTTGAATGACATTTTTGATCAGAATTGTTTTGCATGTTTCTTCTATCTTAAAGGCACTTTGCTGTCTAAGTTTACATTCTTAGTTCTGCTTTTAAGTAACTTTTTTTTTTTATGTTCCACACAAAAAGCAGAGGCCCTCTTGGTGAGGATTGTGAAGGGCTTTAGTTTGGGTGGTGATGTCTGTAATAAGAATAAAAGGTTAAAAAAAAAAAAAAAGAATAAAGGGTAGCTGATGGTGGTGGTGTATACAGAGATTAGGGTTCCTAAGAAAGAATAATAAAAATTTGCGAAGTTATCCCTATTTTTCTGATTTTTTTCAAAAAAGATAATTGTATTCATGGATTACTCGTGTAACTATTGTTACAATTTTTTTTTAAATAAAAGAATGATAATTATGCATGATGAAGATTAGATCTTTATGACTAATTTGGATTTTTGAGCAAGGGATTCAGAACTTGACAGATGCTTCTTGACTTACAGTGGGGCTATGTCAAGTCAAATGAGTTTAATTCTCAGATAAACTCATCCTAAAGGTGAAAAATTGTAAGTTGAATCACCTGTAATTGGGGACCATTTGTAATTGGGAGAATTCTGGAGACATTGAAATCATTAGTTATCAGTTAGATATAAGTATGTACCTTCAGAAAATTTTCCATAAAAAATTTGAATCATTATTGAAAATATATTTTCGAAATTATTCTGATTCATCAATAAGTTTGTTTGCGAAAGTTAATGACAATGATATAGAATTGAGTTTGTAGACCAAATTACATGGCATAGACATCTATGTGTTTAGACTAATATGACCTGAAAATGCCCTTTTTTGACTTAATGGGAACCAATTCTTGTTTGATGTTTCGTAACAGATTCTACTTTATTAATTCTGCTTGTTTTAGTTATATTCGGAGCATTCCAGTTGTTAATGAAGAAAACAGAGGTGATTTTTCCTATATTGGAAATTTGATGACAAAAGAATTCATAGGTCAACAATTGATTCTAATTATTAAGTCTTTGGATACCAATGAAGAAGGAGGAAGGTATATTTAAATGTTAACACTTATTCCAATTTGTTCTTCTAATTTCCTATATAGTAATATAGGCCTTTTTCAATATAACTAAACATATTTACCCTAGCTCTCTAAAGTGGTATAAAAAATTTTTTTTCCCCTTTTTCCTTCTACATATTTCCATATATACACATACATTTATTTTTCTAGTTCAGTTTTCTCAGACTAAACCAATAAAATTGTAGTTTTTGGTTAAAAGTTTCTATTTAGGTTTATTAAGGCCAGTAGCATTTTCTAAAATGTTGAATTATTTCTGGTATTTTGTCATTTTATCAGGTTGATTTATTAAAAATCATAGGATGTTTTTTGAAAATTATTTTTGTGTGGAATAAGAATATTTGACCTAAAGTCTGTGCATACAGATTTTTTACCTATTATAGTGATAAATGTAAGTGAAAGAACTGAGACAAATGTAATTAAGTCTGCAGAATAGGTGAATGTTAGAGAGAAAATATGTTTTGTCGTAATGATATTTAAATTAGTTCTTTTTGACTGCAGAAAAAAACTGCTGGCTATTTTACAGGAGATTCTTACTCTACCCACAATCCCAATATCCTTGGTTTCTTTTCTTGTTGGAAGACTACTACACATCATTATAGAAGATAATAAGAGAACACAAATTGTAAGTAATTTTCCTCATTGTTGATAAAGAGGTTTTGGCCAGTGACATTGAAGATCGTCTTTTTTTATTTTATTTTTTAAAGATGGGGTTTCACTATGTTGGTCATGCTGGTCTTGAACTCTCGACCTCAGGTGGTCCTCCTGCCTTGGCCTCCAAAGTGCTTGGATTACAGGAGTGAAACACCGCGCCCGGCCCTGAAGACTGTCTTATTTTCTCTTTAGAACTTTTGATTTTGTCTTTGTTTTGTTTTAGCTTAGTCTCTTTAATGAGTTTTAAAATTTCTTAAAACAAATTATCTCTTTTTCATACACAGAATATTTTTAAAATATCACCTTCTTCCTCTTAGTGTACCTGTCATTGATGAATCAGTTAAAAATGGAGCATATTTGGTAGGAAGTTACAAAGGGGGATGTGGTTTTGTCCATGAGGCAGTGGGTGCTAGTGTGTTTGAGAGCATACTCAAATTGTACATACTTGGTTTTAGAATCCCCTCTGACCCTTTCTGGCTTTGTGACTTTGGACAAGTTATTCAGTCTTTTTACTTGTCTGCAAATAAGAATAGCAATGAAACCTACCTTTCATTGTTCAGTGAGGTATTGCTTATAAAGTGCTTGATAAATACAGAAATAAATGTTTACTATAATACTATTTCAGTGTTATTTTTTTCTGGCATAGCCAAAAAAGACAGATCTGTATCATTTCTTTCAAAAAAATCATATAATTTCAGTTGCAGGTTAATTCATAGGTCATCTCTTCCAATCTCTCCTTTTATATACATCCCTTCTACAATTTTTATTTGGGAGGCAGCCTTTTCCTGATCAGCCAGTTCCAATTTACAAGTGGTTCTGAAAGGAAAGTCTTTCCTTATGCTGTTAATATTTGTGGATTGTGTACCCAAAGGAAGAATAAAAGGATATTTCATTTTTCTGTATTTAACTCCTACATAGCTGAACAAGAGAAGGATTGAGGATCTCAGGCAGAGAATTTAATGGTGTTTCATCTTAAGCACCATCATTCGCTTTTCTGTTTTTCAGACACTGTAGGAGGGATAATTTATTTTCAATGTCTGTGTGCCTGCTTCCCTTCCCTTCAAATAATTTCAGTTTGTAGTCAGGTATATATATATATATATATTTATTTATTTTCCTTCCTAAAATTGTCTAGCAAACAGAATGTGTGCTATTTCTACCTGTATATTTTTTTCTCTATTATTCAATATATGGTGGATACTACTTGGAGTTTTATATAGCATTTTGGTACTATTTGCTGATGTATCATACATATATTAAAGGATGTACTCTGAATCATAACTTATCAGGTTACAGAAATTATCTCAGAGATTCGGGCGCCCATTGTTACTGTTGGTGTTAATGATGATCCAGCTGATGCAAGAAAGAAAGAACTCAAGGTAAGTGGCTTATAAATAATATAAATAAAATAAGTGCTTGAGTGTAATGTTGTTGTACAAGTCTATTCTTTCCTCTTGATGTGCAGTTCTGAAAGTTTCTCACATAATCGTTGTTTAATTGTTAAACTATAGGAATATCTAAAATGTTACTATTTTATGTCAGTCTCAGAGATTTGCAGATCTCTATCAGGAAAATTACAAGTTTAAATTCTGGATAGTTATTAAATAATACTCCTGAGTTGCTGCAGATATTAACAGTTTTTGTTTAGTGTTGAAACAATTTATATCTTTTCTTAGATGGCTGAAATAAAAGTTAAGCTTATCGAAGCCAAAGAAGCTTTGGAAAATTGCATTGCCTTACAGGATTTTAATCGGGCATCAGAATTAAAAGAAGAAATAAAAGCATTAGAAGATGCCAGAAAAAACCTTTTGAAAGAGACAGAGCAACTTGAAATTAAAGAAGTCCACATAGAGAAGGTATAGGTAACTTTTTTCATACTAAATCTCAGATGTTGTTAATCATCTTAACTAAATCTTTTCTCTAACTCCCGGAATTGCCAAAATATATTTACTTTGGAGCAATATATAACAGTGACATGAATTAAAATGAAAAAGTTTTCCCCTGTTTCTATTTTTGGACTTCGAAAAGCCTTAATTATTATTAGGTCTTTATTTGCCGCCTTATCATGCTAATATCTAGAATCTGAAGTCTTTCTTCCCAGGGAAGCTAGCTTTCCAGTGGTTCACTTCTGAGTTTTCTGGGTTTTTTTGTTTCTGGTTTTTTTTTTGTCTTGAATGGTTTAAAAAAGGAAAATGCATCTATTTTTCTCTTATTTGTGGAAGATCCATGACCTTTCTTTTCTACTGCTAGCAAAATAATTTCTATGGTAACATGAGCCTTTCTTAAAGCTAAATTACTCTTGTGTTTTTAGAAAAAGCTAAGCAGCGTTGTTGTGTTTAATGAAATAATAAACTTAAATGTCTAGTAAAATTTAAAGCTTGCTTTACAGTAGTTCCTTTTTTTAAACAAATTAGTTTGTTAAAGTAGACTCTTAAATGGATTATTTCTTTCCTCTTGAAAGAAAATTTTTGTTAATGGTATTGATACTATTCTATCTTATAACAAATGATAAATATGTGAACATAAGATAGGTATCAATTAATATTTGATATCAACTTTAATTTCTTTTGGGATATTACCTTTTGTAATGAACATCATTTTTTATTATACTTTTAAAAGGGATTTGCTGATTATTCTCATAAAGAGAATGCTAAATAGGAGACCCTTCTATATAGGAGAGTTTCATGAGCTATGTTCTTGACTTCTTTTTTTTTTTGAGACAGAGTTTCGCTCTTGTTACCCAGGCTAGAGTGCAATGGCGCGATCTCGGCTCACCACAACCTCTGCCTCCTGGGTTCAGGCAATTCTCCTGCCTCAGCCTCCTGAGTAGCTGGGATTGCAGGCATGTGCCACCATGCCCAGCTAATTTTTTTCTGTTTTTAGTAGAGACGGGGTTTCACCATGTTGACCAGGATGGTCTTGATCTCTTGACCTCGTGATCTGCCTGCCTCGGCCTCCCAAAGTGCTGGGATTACAGGCTCGAGCCACCGTGCCCAGCCTTGTTCTTGACTTCTTTAGCGATAGAAATCCCAACGTCAGTTCCCACCTTCCAAAAGAGTATGCCTGAATTTTATTTTGATAGCTGGTAGCTTCTTTTGTTTGACAAAGTCTGTGGACCATAATAGGTTATTTGATTTGGAAAGTAAATTTAAAATAAAAACTGAAAATACCATCTGAAAATGACAAACGGTACGTCAAAATTAAAAAATTAGCAAAAGTAGTTTATCATGGTTAATATCATCTGTTTAACTTGACTTGCTTTGACCATTTATGTGTTCATTTGTCCTGTTTGAGGACTATTAAATCTGTTAAAGCACAACTTCATAGTAATAGATGCTATGATCATAGTAATAGATGCTATGATCATAGTAATAGATGCTATGATCAGGGAAGTATAGAGGTTTTATGGAGAGATAATCTAATGCTGGTAGAGTATTGTTGGCTTCCCCAGAGGAGGACATGTTTTATCCTGAGATTTGAATAAAAATAACAATGTAAACTAACAGTTAGAAGATACTTTTTCTGTGGTGGTCACAGCATTGCTTACTTCACAAATGTGAATTCCTTTTCTTAAATATAGGCCTATGATGTTAGTACTATTATTATCTTTATTTTACAAAGGGCAAGTAACTTGCCCAGCATCACACAGATAGTAAATGGTGGAGGCAGGATTTAAACCCAAGAAGTGGCTCTAGACTTGTGCTTTTAACTCATTCTGTGCTGTCTCTTCTCAATGAATTATGGAGGGAATGTTGTAGATAGATGGAACAACATCTGTGATGGTCCAAAAGTTAAAGAATGCTTGTTGTGTTTTAAAACTTCAGGTCCACATGACTAGAGAATTGGTGGGGAGAGGCAGGAGAAAAATCTGGGGAAAAATTAAGGGCTAGGTCATGTAAGGCCTTGCGTAAGCAATATTAAAAATTTTGTATTTTAAGGATCGTAGTGAACCACTAGTATTTTAAGTGGTTAGGTAACTCATATGTCTCAGATCACTGTTTTTCAGGAAATGCATAGGAGAGTAGTAAAAGCTTAGACAGGCATAATAGTTGGAAGACATACAGTAGGGTTGGGACACTTACAGATGATGGTAGCCTGAACAAGGTAATGCCAGTGGATATAGAAAGTAGTGATGAACTTGAGAGCTTTTTAGAAATGAGTAATCGGGAGAAAAGGGAGTCCAGAATATATCTTAGGTCTTTTGCTTTAGACAGCTGGGTAGATGGCGATGACAGTATGAAGACAGAGAACAAGGAAGAGGAGAGATTTGTGTAATGATGAGTTCTCTTTAGAACATTTTGAGTTTGAGGAGACTGTGGAACATCCAAGAGGAAATGTCTTTTAGCAGTTGCATATATGAATCTGAAACTTAGAAAATAGCTGGGCTAGCTCATAGATGATAAATGAGGTTGTCAGGTTGTTTTGTTTTGCTTTGTTTTGTTTTGTTTGAGACAGAGTCTCTCTCCGTCGCCCAGGCTGGAGTGCAGTGGCATGATCGCAGCTCTCTGCAACCTCTGCCTCCTGGGTTCAAGCGATTCTTGTGCTCCAGCCTCTCAAGTAGCTGGGACCACAGGTGTGTACCACTATGCTAATTTTTGTGTTTTAAGTACAGATGAAGTTTTGCCATGTTGACCAGGCTGCTCCCAAATTCCTGGCCTCGAGTGATTTACCCGCTTTGGCCTCCCCAAGTGCTGGGATTAAGGCATGAGCCATTGCGCCTGGCTGAAGTTGTCAATTTTAAAATCCTACCTCTACCATTTACTGTCTGTATGATAGCTGTAAGATCACTCACAGAGTCTATAGAGAGTGACAGTAAGCCCTACACAAAGCCCTGAGAAAGCAAACATTTAAGAGATGGGCAGAAGATATTACTAATGCTGAATATTTTGTCTTCATTTTAGAATGATGCTGAAACATTGCAGAAATGTCTTATTTTATGCTATGAATTGTTGAAGCAGATGTCCATTTCAACAGGCATAAGTGCAACTATGAATGGAATCATCGAATCTTTGGTTTGTTGGTGGCCTCTTCGGCTTTATTTTAGTCCAGTCCTTTCTTATTTTATAAGTGATGTGTTCTTTCAAAATAAAAAAAGTGAACAGATTACAATCTTAAATATCTGATAAGTATAAATGGTTAAAAAATAAATAAATAAATAAATATAGTAGCCACTTCATATTGTGAGAATTAAATAAGATAATGTATGTAAAGGACCTGATACATAAGTTAGAATCTTTTAAAGATTTGAAAAAATGATTTCATACTAGAAGGAGATACAGAATATCTTCATTGTTTGAATAGTAAGAGAGGAGATACTGAAACGTAACCAGGAATATTTAAGTACTGGAATCTTGCTATATAATGAGACTGAGTTGATTATATTATATGCCCTCTGAAAGGAATTTATTTATTATATTTAAAGGACTTTTTAAAATAACCCTTTGTAGGTAATTCCCATAGGTACACAAATACTGTAAGATTCTTCTAGAACATTACTTTCTGATAAGGAATATAGTATAAACCGTATATAACTTTACATTTGCTAGTAGCCACATTAAAAAAAAAAGTTAAAAGGATAATTTTAGTATATTAAATGTATCCAACTGTATTATTTGGATATATCCAATATATCAAAAATATTAATTATTTTATTTTTTACTCAATATTAAAACTTGCAGTGCTTTACATTCTGTTGCTAGGTCTTTACAGCACATCTTAAACTGGACTAGTCACATTTCAAGTGTTCAGTAGCCACATCATGAGGCTAATGGTCACAGTATTAGTTCAGTATTTTTTTGTTGTTGTTTTGATAGTACCACTTATCCAAAGCAAATTCTATATGTAGCCAGGCTCTTACAGAAGTATCTTAAAATTGTATTGACTTGGGACTAGTGAGAATTAGCCAGTGAATGTGATCTGAATTCTAATTCCTTGGTTGTCATGAGTTCCTAAATGTAGTAAAGAAAACCGATTTTAATAGTTTAGAGCTTCTGGAGAAATAATATTTTGTACTCAGCCATTAGAATTTAGCTTTATTTTTAGAAAAGCAATATCTTTAGTGAAAAGTAATGCTCTTTAAGTTGTACTTGGGTATTTTATGTCTGGCCCTACAAAATTGAGGTAGTAAATATGAAGACTGTATATAATGGATATACAGTGTTATGTGAAGAAGGGACACAAAATTGAATGGTCATAACGATATTAAGTGTATAAAAGTCTATGGCTAAAGATTGAAAGAGATTAGTAGAAGAATATAAAATATATTTGGATAAAAGTTATATTTTTATGAAGTTACTATGTTTTAAATAAAAAATTTAATAAATTATTCATTGGGAAAATATTCATAAATTCATTGAGGAAATATTTACTGAACATCTATTACATACATACTAACTTCTAGGAATAAAGTATACATGGTATACAAAAAAAAAAAAAAAAAGAGATACAGATTGTCCTTGTTGATCTGGTCAAGTGAGAGGAGCATCAGTGAAGTAAGTAAAAAGTGAAAGTTTGTGCTATTAGTGCTTGTTATGAAGAAAAACTATATGACCATATGTGAACTTATAATAACAGGATTTGACATATTCATTGAAGGTGATTCTGGTCTGATATTTGAGTAGACTTTATATGAAAAAGACAGAGAATGCTTAATATGGTAGCTGCCAGCCAAACATGGCTTATAAAAACTAGTCCAAAATGAGATATGCTGTAAGGACTAAAACATTGGGGATGGGAATGGTGGCTTACACCTGTAATCCTAATACATTGGGAGGCCAAGGCAGGTGGATGGCTTGAGCTCAGGAGTTGGAGACCACAAGAGTGGTCTCAATGCAACATGGTGAAACCCTATCTCTACAAAAATAAAATAGAATAATTAGCCAAGTGTGGCTCGAGCCTATGCTCCCAGCTACTTGGGAGGCTGAGGTAGGAGGATCAGTTGAGCCTAAGAGGCTGCAGTTGCAGTGAGCTGAGATTGTGCCACTGCACTTCAGCCTGGGTGACAGCATAAGACTCTGTCTCAAAAAAGAAAAAAAAAGAAAAGAAGAAACCATGTTGAGTTTCAAAGACTAGTACAAAGAACAGAAAGTAAGTTATCTTGTTAATAGTATTTATATTGATTAAATACTACAATTACAAGGTTTTGGTTATATTGAGTTAAATATATTAAAATTAGTTTCACCTTTTGTTTTTTAACTTTAATATGGCTACTACTTACATAAGTGGTTCCCATTTGTGGCTTTTATTATATTTCTGTTGGATAGCATTGAATCCAAATCAGACTAGTTGAACAAACTAAGAGCAAGAGGTAGCATGGTATAAGAAGATTGGGAAAGGAACTACACAATAGGGAATAGTATATGTCATGTTAAGGTGATTTATCTTGTTCTGTGAACATTAGGAAGCCATTGAGTCCCCTTTAGCAGGTGGAGGGGAGGTATCTCATGATCAGACTATTTTAGGAAGGTCATTCTGGCTGTTTAATACTTGCCTTTTCTTTAAAAGTGAAAAATGACATCTTTGAGTTAATAGGCAATAGGAAATGAAGTGGATCTATGAAATCATATGGAAATTGTCATTTTGAATATGATTTTAGTACACTATTATACATTTGTTACCCTGGTCAAAATTATTTTAATTTCTGATTCATTTCAGATTCTTCCTGGAATAATAAGTGTTCATCCTGTAGTAAGAAACCTGGCTGTTTTATGCTTGGGATGCTGTGGACTACAGAATAAGGATTTTGCAAGTAAACACTTTGTATTACTATTGCAGGTAGGATTTATCTTGTGTTAAGTCTCAGTTGTATTTTCTGAAATACTCTGTGGTGATAATGCTAATACTCTGAATTTATCTATTCTGGTGCTTATTGATGATGATTATTATGGATAATCTTTGGGGACTGAGTACTTTTTATCTTTTGATTTCTTATTAAAATGTGTTTGGAGAAAAAGATGAAATGCCAGTTATTTAAGATATTCTTTTAATCACATAGCACATACTTATTGAGTGCATATTATGTGCCAGCAACTGTTAAAGACTTTGAAAAAATAAAGTAGGTAGGTAGTGAATAAAACAAGATAAAAGGTGTTGTCTTAATGGAGCTTACATTCTAGAAGGGGAAACACAATGTGAAAAATAAGTATACAATATATCAGATGGAGAGAAGTAAAGCAAAGAAAGGGACTAAATGGGAAGGAGGAGAGGGAGCAGTTTGGTTGAGAAAGACCTCACTAATAAGTTGACATTTGGGCAAATACCAGAGGGAAGTGTGAGAGTGAACCACGTGGTTATCTGGGCTTCCAAGAAGGGGAAAAAGCAAGGGAAGAGGCCCTGGGGTGTAGGACTTTGGGTGTGTTCAGGGAACAAGAGAACATATGGCTAGGAAAGACTGAGCAAAGGGAAGAATAATAGGAAAAAGGGTTTGCTGGCAGCAGGATGTCCATGTCTTCTAGGACTTTATAGACTGTAAAGATGTCAGCTTTCACTATAAATGAGATGGAAAGGAATTGGAGGGCTTTGAATAGAAGATTGTTATGATCTCACTGGGCATAAGGTGGTGTAGACCAGGGAAGGGTTGGCAAACCATTTGTGTACAGAGCCAGAGAGTAAATATTTTTAGACTTTGTGGGCCATATGATCTATCTAAACTACTCAGCACTGCTGCTGTGTGAAAACATCTGTAGATAATGCATAAATGAATTAGTATGGCTGTAGTCCAGTAAAACTTTATTGTCAATGAAATTTGAATTTCATATAATTTTCACATGGAATACGTTTTCTTTTTTTAAAAATCATTTGAAAATGCAAAACTTCCTAACTTGCAGGCTATGCAAAAACAGGTGGTAGAATGGATTTGGGCTGTTTGCAGATCCCTCATATTAAATAGGTGTACAAGTATGGAAGCAGGGATACTAATAAGGAAGGTATTTGATATTCTAGGAAAGTGATGGTGATGGCTTAGATGACTGTTGTGGTTATTGAGGTTGTGAGCAGAAATGGTAATCTAAATTTGAAAATCAAGTTTAGGATTTGCTAATGAATCTGATGTGGTATGTGAGAGAAAGGTAGGCGTTAAATTAAAGATTTGGGGCAGAATAACTGTATGGATGAAGTTGTCTTTTCTTACGATGGGGAAAGCAGAGGAGCTGGTTTTACGGCAGACAGTATTGGGCATGATAAGTTTACAGTTTAAGGTACAAGTGGATATATTGAATAGGCATTTATATATGAGTTTGGAGTATAGGGCAGAGGTCCAAGATGGTGAGATGGAAGTCCTTATTCTATTGATATTTGTATTGCATCTGAGAGTATGCAAGGCTTAGAGAGGATGTTGCCTGAGGAATGAGTATAGATTGAATGAGTGTAGGGATCAACTTTGTAGGACCCTAAAGCCTCAGATAAAGGTCGGGGAGAAGAAGAGGAACTGGTAGGGGTTAAGGAGAATTGGACAGTAGAAGAGAAATGGTATGATTTCCTGGAAAGCAAGTGAATATAATATTTTAAAGATGATAGAATGACCCAGCTGTCCAGTGTTGCTTCATAATCGACCATTCTGAATTCACAATCATCCATTTCTGGCAAGCAGGAAGTGTTCTTGAAATTTCTTTAAAAGTTTTGAAAAATTAAGGCATTTTTTCTCAGTTCATTATTTTGACTGTTTTACAGGTGATTTTCATTTGTTCTAAAAGCCAAGTTATTTTATCAATTATCTAAATTTAATTACATTAAAGAATATAGTAAATTGGCTCACACCTTTGGAGCCTGTGTGTGAGCACTTTGGGAGGCTGAGGCTGGTGGATCTGAGGTCAGGTGTTTGAGCCTGGCCAATATGGTGAAACCCCGCCTTTACTAAAAATACAAAAATTAGCCAGGTGTGGTGGTGCGCACCTGTAATTCCAGCTACTCAGGAGGCTGAGACAGAAGAATTGTTTCAACCCAGGAGGCAGAGGTTGCAGTGAGCTGAGATTTTGCCATTTAACTCCAGCCTGTGCCATAGAGTGAGACTCTGTCTCAAAAAAAAAAAATTTTTTTTTAATAATATAAATACTGAACTCTGTATTTTTTCCATGGCTTTGAAATCTGTGTGCATTTTTAACGTTAGACTTATACAGGGTGCTGAGTTTTATGGTTTACCTCTTTTCATAAAGTAATCCAGATGAAAACTGAATTTACTATTAATGAATTCTAAATTCATTGAACTAATAAGAGAAAAATAAAACTTTATAACCTAGAATACTGTTCTAGTGAATGCCTTTCATTGCTTAGAATATAATGTTTTTCTCTTGACAGCTGGGCTAGAACATCAATATAATTGAACAGTTTTTCTGAATCTTAAAAAAATAAAATGGATGAAGGCATTGTTGATACTTTTTAAATAAAAGGAACGAAGAATATAATTCAGCCTGAGTCCAATTCCAGAAATTTTTATTGACTGTGAAGATTAACTTTTTCTTAAAGCATATAGCTCTAAATGTTATGGTTCAAATAAATAAAAATAACGTGTTTTTTTTTTTACATTGAAATTTTAACTATATCTTTGAAAAGCGACATTTTCTTTAGACTTGACACTGTCATTGAAATTTGACTAAGAAAAAAATAAGATGCATATTAATTTTATGTAAACAATAAAAACAGTTTACTGAATTTACTTTTTTTGGTGGGGAATATCTTGATTTAGGTTTTGCAAATTGATGATGTCACAATAAAAATAAGTGCTTTAAAGGCAATCTTTGACCAATTGATGATGTTTGGGATTGAACCATTTAAAACTAAAATCAAAACCCTTCACTGTGAAGGTATAGAAATAAACAGTGATGATGAACAAGAATCAAAAGAAGTTGAAGAGACTGCTACAGCTAAGAATGTGTTGAAACTCCTTTCTGATTTCTTAGATAGTGAGGTAAGAAATAATCCAGTCCTGTGATTATGAAATGCCATTTTCAGCATGTATTTGTTTATGCTCTTTATATTTTATTTTTTCCTACTGGGTTTTAAATTTGGATGCTTTCTCTTACTTTTTTAACATTGTATTTAAATCCTAACTTTCACGATCATACCTAATTTCTCACTATCAAATTGTATGTGCAAAGAAATGAAGTATAAACAAAAATGAAGTGATTATTAAAGGGGGTTGTTATTAATTTTTTATTTACATTGTATTTGTGATTTAGAGACTTTTAAGATTTATAAGAGTTTTAAGAAATAGTTTAGAATAATTTTATATTGGGAGGGTAGAAGATGTAAGATAGGGTATGCTATTGGATCTCTTTTAAGTACTCTTGAGCTACTATTTTTATAGCACGTTAAGCAACTGATTAAAAATTTTTTATACAGCTTATAGTTTTTCACTGAGGTGGATGTGAAAAACAAAAACTTACAAAAAATTGTTACAACAAAACTTAACAATTTAAATTTTTTGAGATAGGGTCTTGCTCCATCATCAGGTTGGAGTGCAGTGGTGCGATCATAGTTCACTGCCCCTTCACGTGCTGGTTTCAAGTGATCCTCCTGAAGAGCTGGGACAACAGGCATGTGCTGCCATGCCTGCTGATGTTTAAATTGTTGAGACAGGGTCTCGGTATGTTTCCCACACTGGTCTTGAACTCCTGGCCTTACACGATCTTCTTGCCTCAGGCTGTCAGGGTGCTTGGATTACAAGTGTGAGCCCTTGTGCTTGGCCACAACTAACACTGTTAATGTGAACAATTCATTGACATTTAGTACATTCAAAATGAAGGGCAACTAACACCTCTATCATATAATTTAAAACATTTTCATCATCCCAAAAGGAAACTACTCATTAAGCAGTTGCTCCTCATTCCCCCTTCTGCCAGCCATGACAACAACCAATCTCCACTCTGTGTCTATAGATTTAACTATTCTGGATATTTCATATAATTAGAATCATACAATATGTGACCTCTTTGTTTGGCTTTTTAAATTTAGTATAATGTTCTCAAGATTCATCCACATTGCATCTTGTACCAGTACTTCATTTTTTAAAAATAGCTGAATATTCCATTTTATGTATATACAGTGATTTGTTTATGCATTCATCCACTGAAGGACAGTTGGGCTATTTCTACCTTTTGGCTATTGTGAATAGTGCTGCTTGCTATGAACATGGCATGTATATGTATTTGTTTGAGTACCTGTTTTCAATTCTTTTGGGTATCTATATACCTAGGAATTAGGTTGCTGAGTCATTTAACTTTGAGAACTTGACAAAATGTTTTCCATAGTGACTGAACCATTTTGAATTTCCACCTGCAATGTACAAGGTTTTCCATTTCTCCACATCCTTGTCAACACTTAATGTTCCAGTTTTTTAAAAATTATAGCTATCCTATTATATGTGAAGTGCTACTTCATTGTGGCTTTGATTTGCAGTTCCCTAATGACTAGTGATGTTGAATATCTTTTCATCTGCTTCTTGGCCATTTGTATATTTTGTTTGGAAAAGTGTCTGTTCAAGACCTTTGCCCATTTTTAAAGTTATGTTGGTTGTCTTTATAGAGTTCTTTATGTAGTTTGGGTAGTAGATCCTTATCAGGTATAATTTGCAACTATTTTATTGTTTAAGTTGTTTTTTTGCTTTCTTGATACCTTAGGGATATTGAACATTTTTAATTTTGGAGATGCATTTATTTTTTTCTTTTGTTGCTTCTGCTTTTGGTGTCCTATCTAAGAATCCAGTGCTAAGTCCAAGTCATGAAGATTTATCCCTGTTTTCTTCTGAGAGTTTTCTGGCTTTAGCTTTTATATTTAGGCTGTTAATGCATTTTCAGTTAATATTTGTATATGGTCTAAGGTCCAGCTTCATTGTTTTGCCTGTGTACATCCAGTTGTCTTTTCCTTTGTCTTCTCTAGACTTGTTTTGTTTACTCTTTCTAGGAATGCCTTCTGCTTCTACATCTTCTGTTCCCATTCTACCCATTACTCAGACAAATTGCCACTCTTACCTATGGAGCTTTCACTATAGATAGGCACCTTCTTCTAATGTCAGCCGCCATTGCTGGGAATTTTCTATGTCTTAGAAACACTAAGCATTTAAATATATGTTTTGATTTTTATTTTCCAATAGTTATAAAAAGCTTTTGGTGCTTTTAAAAAATTTTAAGAAAATTGAATTTTTCATGGCTAGAGTAAGCATTTGTCTAGTCTCCTAGTCTTTTAGATTTGTCTAAAATTGTTAGTCTAGCTGTGAAGAAATAGTCTTTTTATATGTCTTTAAAGAATTGGTAATAACACAAATGATTTTTGGGTGATTCATATAAAAATATTGTAGAACAGCTACATTGTGAGGATTAAAAAGGAGATACAAATAAATGTCTTCTTATGAATGTCATCTTTGTTAGGTATCTGAACTTAGGACTGGAGCTGCGGAAGGACTAGCCAAGCTGATGTTCTCTGGGCTTTTGGTCAGCAGCAGGATTCTTTCTCGTCTTATTTTGTTATGGTACAATCCTGTGACTGAAGAGGATGTTCGACTTCGACATTGCCTAGGCGTGTTCTTCCCCATGTTTGCTTATGCAAGCAGGTATTGAGTCATAGGGGTAAATCAAAATCTGACTTGACATCAAATTCAGGTCCTTCATGAATTTATAACAATATTTTGTTGTTGGTACTTTTTCTATCTTTAGTGGATACATGATGAAATGACAATAACTTATATAGATTTTATCAAATTCAGGTCCTTCATGAATTTATAACAATATTTTGTTGTTGGTACTTTTTCTATCTTTAGTGGATACATGATGAAATGACAATAACTTGTATAGATTTTATCTATCTGAATTGTTGGCTCTTTCCTAGATGAAAATGTACTTTATCTTGATGAGCAAATTTTACACATAAAATTTTTGAATTTCATACGTAACAGTTTTTAGAGTCATGCTTTTTCTCTCATCAAATAATGTTCTGTTAACAAACTTTCAATTTGTTTCTCAATAGGACTAATCAGGAATGCTTTGAAGAAGCTTTTCTTCCAACCCTGCAAACACTGGCCAATGCCCCTGCATCTTCTCCTTTAGCTGAAGTTGATATCACAAATGTTGCTGAGTTACTTGTAGATTTGACAAGACCAAGTAGATTAAATCCTCAAGCCAAGACTTCTCAAGATTATCAGGTGAGTGAGGATGATAACTGCGTGCAGATCACTGTTTTGGTAAAATAATGTGTCTCAAAGACCCCTTGAAATACGAGGAACTGCATTTTGATCTTTAGACTTTTGTCTCAAACATATAACACAAAGCACAAAAAAGCAAGACCCTGGGAAATATGGAGAAATCATACGAAAACAGAAATCAGTGCTAACATTTTTGCTACTGAAAAGAAGTTACTAAAAATTCACCACCCCCACCATGCTCTTCCCTACCTAGTACTGACTGTTAATCTGAAGTAATAACCTATGTTATCTAGGACTCACCGAGTCTTCAAATGTTGGCTTACCTGCTATGCTTCTGGCACAAGGAAGCACAATGCAGAGAATAGAACTCACCTGACGCTTTTTTGGCTTTTAATTCAAAGAAGATAAATCAATTGCATACTGACTCACAGACTGAACTTATGCAGATTTTAAAAAATCCTTTAATGGCATTTGGTCAAACTTGTTACCACTTTTAAAATTTAATGTATTAGTGATTTCAGATGCTAACTGATTAAGTTGAAAGTATTACTCTTCTTTCGTTGTTTGATATTTAGTGATAGGCTACTCTGTTCAAGTCATATTTTGTATATTATTGGAAAGATAAGATTATAAAGGATATTAGGCAAAATTAGGTAAAGGTCAGTAATAGAGCTATTAAAGCACTTTATGACTTGAGACAAGGGCAAGACTCATGTGGTAGGAATGATGAGTACAGCATTAGTTTTAAAACTCATTGAGCAAAATTCAGTTAGGCCTTGTTGGGATTTGGGGAGTGGTTTGGGTAGAGGAAGGATGTTTTATTAAAGGTGATATATGTAGATGGTTATGCAAATATTGGGGAACTGTAGAAGGATTATTTTGGCTAAGGATCCTGAATAGGACTGTTAGGGCAGAACACTGGAGATAGATTATAGATTGCTTTAAAGGCCAATGTGGGGAATTTGGAGTTGGTCTTATTTGCAGTGGATTAACTATGCAGGGCTTATGAAGAAAGGGTTAATGTCATGAAAGCCAATTATTAGAAAGATTAATTTTGTGGTCAGTGATGGTTACATGAGATGAATTGGTGAGCGGAAAGAAAAGAATATTAATTAAGCAGTTGAAGAGCTGCATAATTAGCTTGTAGAAAAAGTACTAGAAAGTAATAGTATAAAGTAGAAAGAATAGAAATTGAGCTAATAAACAATTACGGGTACAAGAAGCTAAAAGAAAGAGCTTGAGAGGCACGGGAGATGGACTCCAGGAAAAATCTAAGTGTGTGTAACAGCAGTCTTCAAAGGAGCTGTTGACAGTTTACTTGGGAAGTACTCTCATGACTAGCATCTTGGAAGAGTGAGGGAAAAGTAATTTGGGGTATAGCACTAAGTTCCTCTACTGCTGTGCAAGCAAAGGCCCCAGCCGATCACATAGGGAATTCCAGAACTGGGATGTTCCTTTGAGTTGTTGAGAATGGAGACAAGTTGAGACATTGTACCTGTGCATTGGCCAGTCACTGGATTTGGACTAATCTTTGGGAGAAAAGGTATAACCTTGGACAAGGTCCACCGAAGTACAGTGTCATCAGCCTATATCAGAACTGCAGCTGGAAACTTTTACCCTCCAAAATGTGCAGCAACTGGGGAATGAGTGCTTCTTTCCTAAAGGGAGTAGAACTGGGTCCTATATCACAGCATCCACTACAAGAAGTCAAGAAGGGGAGCTTATTTTGGGGTGTGGGGGAATGTTAAATTTGGCTTTAGGCATTTTATATTTGGGATTATGGCAACACAATTAATTGGAAATGTTTATTAGATGTATAAGACTATATTATAATCATAATCGTTTTCAATTTACAAAGAATTTGTTCTTAATTTTCTAGGCCTTAACAGTACATGACAATTTGGCTATGAAAATTTGCAATGAGATTTTAACAAGTCCGTGCTCACCAGAACTACGAGTCTATACAAAAGCCTTGAGTTCTTTAGAACTCAGTAGCCATCTTGCAAAAGATCTTCTCGTTCTACTGATTGAGATTCTGGAGGTAAAGTAGTTTCTAATATATGCTGAAATATTTTGTGTTTATATTTATAAATGTAGAATTTACATGGCTGTATTAAACTATACATGTTAGCATATTGTGACTTATTTAAAGTATTTTCTTCATAAATTTCATATAGTGTTTTTAAACAACTTGATATGTATTGGTACTATTTTCAAAGATAATAGGAAATGCTGTGTTTATAAAATGTTAATAATGTTTTCTTTTATAGCAAGTAAAAGATAGGACATGTCTGAGAGCTCTGGAGAAAATCAAGGTTCAATTAGAAAAAGAAAATAAAGAATTTGGTGACCAAGCTGAAGCAGCACAGGATGCCAGCTTGACGACAACTATTTTTCAAAATGAAGATGGTAATGACATACTGACCAGAATATTTATAAGATTCTGTGCTTTTATTCTGTTCAAGTTTTGTTTTGGCCTGCATTTCTCAACAAATGACCATCTTTTTAGGAGTTTTGCTTTTCCAGTATTTAAATTTTCAAAAGGGTGATTTATAACTTTTCACTAGCTGCTAGAGGGACTGTATCATTTCAGTTTTTTAAGAACTGGACTTAAAAAGACAATTTAAAATATTTCATGAAGCTATCTTATTTATATTGTTTTATTATTTCCTTTAACAGAAAAGAGTAAAGAAGTATATATGACTCCTCTGAGGGGTGTAAAAGCAACCCAAGCATCAAAATCTACTCAGCAAAAGACTAACAGAGGTAGTATATGGATTGACCATCTTTATGATAAAAGTTTTAAATTTTATCTTCCAATGAAAAATACTTGTTTTGCAAGTTTTCTTATCTTTGTTTCCTTAGGAATAAAGATTTTAAAATGTCTTCGGCATCCTTAATTCTTTCAGTTGATGTCAGTTTTTGCCTTGTGTCTAAAGATTATAGAATCAGTGTTGCTTTAGGTGCTTTTGATTGAAAGAATTATGCTGCAAAAGATCATATTACAAAGGACAATTTGGGTGGAATTAAGATTTGGTTAAATGTTAGTTTTCTATTAGTTATTTCTGTTGTATCCTTCATTTAACTAAACATTAAAAAAAAATCCCTGTGGTATTTTTCTGGACTTTGTTCTCCTTCTATTCCCATCTTATTTCATATTTTCCCAACTTATTTCCCAAGGGCTATCCAACAATAGGGGATTTGTTGGTAAAGTAAATGCTGACTACTAGGGGATCACTTGGAAAAAAATCTGAAATTCAAGATATTTTCATTGGTTTATTATTTCCTTATTACAAAAGCAGTGCATGCTTATTACAGAAGAATCAGAAAGTACATCCAGGCAAACTATTAAAAAGAACACTAATAATTCCACCCATGAGCCAACCATGATTTTAATTTTAGAAATCCATTTTTTAAGGCCCTTTCTGATGCAGATTTAATTTTGTCTAAAATGGATTCTGGCCATAATATTGTTTTGTAACCAATAAATTACTTAAATACGAATTGCTGGATATTGTTCCAAATTTGTCCCATATTGTTGGATGTTTTCTTGGGGATAAATGTGTTAGTGAAAACAAGTAAGGAGTAGGAAATAAAGTGTAACATGAATGAAGTAGACCAGGTGTCCCCAAACTTTTTACACAGGGGGCCAGTTCACTGTCCCTCAGACCGTAGGAGGGCCACCACATACTGTGCTCCTCTCACTGACCACCAATGAAAGAGGTGCCCCTTCCTGAAGTGTGGCGGGGGGCTGGATAAATGGCCTCAGGGGGCCGCATGCAGCCCGCGGGCCGTAGTTTGGGGACGCCTGAAGTAGAGTATATAATTTTCAAACAGACTGTCACATTGAACAATTTGGTTTTGATCAGATTGTTTTTTGTTGTATATCACACAATGAGAACTCCATCCTTTTTAACAGACCAAACTTCATGTATTCATACTCTGTTTTATTTCTTATAAATGAGAAGCATCACAAGCCAAACTTTGTCTTACTCCTTAACCTTGTAAATTTCTAGTAAGTAGAATCTTTATAATCCCCAGTATATAAAGGTTCTAGTTTTTACATTGAAATATTATATTTTAGAACACATACTTGAATTCGTTGTGTATATAAGAAGCCATTATTACCTTACTGATTAATGTTTGTTCTATTTGTTTTTTATCACCTTTCAAGAAAAAAAAGTTTTATTTCTTTAGCACCTGTTTCTGCACCTAACCCTTAATTTTCAAGAGTCTTTCCATAGACTTTGTGCTATAGCATAATAGAAGCACTTTATGGTAACACAGTTTTTATATACTGTCCTTAAATACATAGAACTAATATTTGCCTTCTTTTAACTTGTTTAAAATTTCCTCATTTTCCCTTACTCATTATTAGTGCTTACAAAAGAAATTAAGTTTTAATCTTGCTTGGGTTCCTTTTTCTGTGGTAGTGATAACTGGTACCAAGATTGCTAGAACAAGTCGGAGATAGATGTGTTGAAAAGGATTGTTGTGTTGAAAACAAAGGATTTAGCTAGTCTGGAAACTAGATTAAAAATAATAAGCAACTGATAAATTCTGATAATGAATTATACTGTCTTCAAGGACAAAGAAAAGTGACAATTTCAGCTAGGACAAATAGGAGACGTCAGACTGCCGAGGCTGATTCTGAAAGGTATGTCATTCATGTCTAGACTAACAAAGGCCTATCTTCACTTTTTATGTGTAAAAGTAGAAACAAACTAATTTTCTTGTGATTGAGAGAAAATAACAAAATAGTGAAAACTAAAAGTAGCTGTTTTGGGTATTTAGTCTAAAATTCCATTATCAAGAGCATTTGACTTCTTGTGGCTTGTTTGCTTTTGCTTATTGGATGGCATGGTCTTTAGTACTGTCTTTAATATGTTGTTTCTGTTTCTGATTACATGACTATGTGACTCCTCTTTGATCTTTAGTTAACAAACTCTTGATTTCGATAATATTTGGGTTCTCTATACTTAGAATGATAGAATACTTCTGTCTATAACTTGGATATATTGTGTGTTAGAGTGTTTATTTTTGACTTCTGTCAAGCCACTGTTAAGAGTTTAAAGTTGGTAGCTGTCCTGTATTCATGTATTCATTGGCAAAATTGTATTATTTGTATTTTCAGTATATATCTTTACATTGTCTTGATTAAATTCAAGTGTATTTTAAGGGGAAACTGGTTTTTACTGTGTTTTCAAAATTTATTGCTTAAATCAAGAGAACTTAATTTTTTTTTTTTCACTTCTTGAGTTTCAAAGAAGTCTCTTTTGGACATTTATGGTCCTCATTTAATTACAAGCTTCATTACAAGTTTGTGGGTTTTTTTCCTGTATAACACCAGGTTCCCTTATACTTTAAAATCATTAGCTACGTTTTTCCATGATTCACTTTGCTGAATAGCTAAATCAGTGTTTTTTGATACTGTTTGAGAATTTAGTTTTCAGCTAAGTCAATGGAATCAGGCTATCAATTATACACTGATAGAATGTGAGTCAGAAACAAAAATGTTTTATTTATAAATAAGCTGGTTTTAAAACTTGTATCTAAATTCATGTATTTTCAACATCTAGTGATCATGAAGTTCCAGAACCAGAATCAGAAATGAAGATGAGACTACCAAGACGAGCCAAAACAGCAGCATTAGAAAAAAGTAAACTTAACCTTGCACAATTTCTCAATGAAGATGTGAGTTAGGAAAGATGATGGAGGTGGAATCCTTTAAAATTATGTCCAGTTACTTGCTTTAATAAAGTTACCTTTGTCAAAATCAGAAAAAACCTGATGCCTTTCTGAAGATTTTCTGCTGTGTACCTCCATATTACCTTGGCCTGTATTAAAGCATTAGGACAGCATCAGTTATTATAGTCCAGAGACCATTTGCATTAGTCACACAGATTTATCACAATCTGAGGTGGGCCTAGGAATCTCGTTTATTTTTTTATTTTTATTTTTTTTTGAGACGGAGTTTCGCTCTTGTTACCCAGGCTGGAGTGCAATGGCACGATCTCGGCTCACTGCAACCTCCGCCTCCTGGGTTCAGGCAATCCTCCTGCCTCAGCCTCCTGAGTAGCTGGGATTACAGGCACGTGCCACCATGCCCAGCTAATTTTTTGTATTTTTAGTAGAGACGGGGTTTCACCATGTTGACCAGGATGGTCTCAATCTCTTGAAACCCGCCTCGGCCTCCCAAAGTGCTGGGATTACAGGCTTGAGCCACCGCGCCCGGCTGGAATCTCATTTAATAATTTAAAGAGGCTCTCCAAATGATTCTCAAGAACTCTTTATGTTTAAAATCATGGCATTATGAAAAACTTTCAAGTATCACTAGCTAGTGTCTTGCATTTGAGAAGCTTATGACTTAGAACCAACAAAGATGAAACCTCCTCAGGACACATTTAACAAGTAACATTTCAAGGGAAAATGAAGTACCACAAACTGGCTAGAAAGGAGCTTATCACCAGTGAGGAAGACCAGTATGACGTTCAACAGTTATTTTGACAATCTTATTTTGTGATTCCTACAGTGAAAACAGTTTTAATGATGCTGTCTGCCTGGGAAGTCTCTTTCTAAAGTATTTGCATATGGGAGTCCTTGTTTTTGAGTGTTTCCTGGGTTAGGGAGGTGTCCACATAAATGTATTTGAACCATGAAGCTGCTCTCTATATTTCTGGCATAACAATATTTACTGTGGATAATAATTCTAGTGGGAAAATAATGTGACAGGAAGTTCTCTTGTATATACTCTACTAATTTATGAGCACTATTCACTGTCAATTTCATTTATTGTCTTTTGAAATTGACACTTGGCCTGACCTATGAAACTTGTACTGTATGAAATTGGTCCTCTTTTTCTGCAGTACCCAACAAAACACCTTTTCTCTTTATTATTCAGAAATGTCCTAACATGGATCTGTTTTAATAATTGTGCTTTTTAAAGGCTTATTTACTAGAGGCCATTTACTTAAGGTGAAGTTCTAAGATCCATCACTGGTTTTTAGAACTAAATTGTTACATGCTTCATAGAACTTATAAAAGGAGTCAAAGTTACAAAGCAAGAATACTTACTAAGCAAAAGGAAAATTGGTAATGATAGAAAGTCAACGAAAAATAGATGATTGTTCTTCATTCTGTTTGTCGGCTCTGTGTCCTGTGCTTTAAATTCCTTATGTGTTGTCATGTTAAAGATAATTTGCAGGGGGTTGGAAGAAGGACTGAAAAGGTACATTAAATGTGATAGGAAACATCTTAGAAATATAACAAACTAAAATCCCATTCACACATGGCTAGGCCATCCAAAAAAAAAGAAGCCATGTTCTCATATGGTTCACCTTACCAAAGCTTGCTTTCTCTGGCATGGGAAAAATGAATTTAAGCACCAAATTTTTTAATATTCTGAGTATTCAGTTTTTAGACACAGTCATGTAACCATTGCTGAAACTGTGCTTTGCACTATTAGAGTTAAAGGTAAGGGAATATCCTGCTTCTAAAAGTCATCCCTTTAAACTTTAAAATAAAAGGCTAAGGTACAATAAAACAGATGTAAATCCGTTTACCTTTTTCATTCAAAACTGATAACTTACAGAAACCAAATGGTATTCTTCTCTACCAAGAGGCACAGATTTGCTGAACAGTAAACATGCAATTGTACCATTGCTCTTAAAGCCCACAGACTCATAGGTTTAAAATACAGAGAAAGATCTGATCAGCTCAAATGTACCTGTGAATGGAAACATGCTATTCAATGATAATCTATGATCAACTTTTTTCTTCTGTACATATATAACTTTGAAGGAGATTTACTTCTAAGCAATACCTTTGCCTTTAACCAATTTTGCTTCGAGGTAGTTGGTATCCAACTGTTTTACAATTGCTCATGGGTCAGGTCATCATCACAAATCTTTACAATACTAGCTTTCTAAATCACAATGTATTATATATTAAAACTTTGTGCACAGAAATAAAACTGGGAACAATTATGTATTTAAACTTAGGGCATTAAAAATTCACATAATACCATTAAAAAGAGAAACATCAAAATCTGTTTATACTACAAAATTCCACAATGATCTGATGTAAAACATATAAAAACATATAAAGAATATAATCAAAATGATTAATGCTAATGATTTAATATAAAGACAAATCACAGGACTAGAAATACTTCAAGATCAATTGATAAATGCTTATTCAGAAGGAATTTTGACATACAAAATAAATAGTGCAAGTACTGCAATCTATTTCTCTTCACTTTTGAGATTTTGGTTATGAACTGTACAGCTCACTAGAGATGCTGTTGTCAAATTCAGATTCCATTCAATGGGACGATTAAGGCACATCTTAATGGGGCTCAAAGGGCAACTTGCTGTATTCCCATCAGACACATTCAGTTTCTCATCAGTTTTCATTTGTAGCATGCTGGAAGAAAAAGTGTAAGGCATTTTAGTTTTACTTTAGTTTCAAAGTAATTATCAACCTTGTAAAAACATTTAGTAGTAGTAGTGTTTAGACCTCTAAACTTTAGTGTACATAAGGCATTTATCCTGAAAATACAACAGTTTTATCTCCCATCTACTTATTGAACTAAATACAATGAACAATGCCACGTAAACTGTGTAACTTGAGAGGTCACATAGTACCGGAAAAGTAACACTGCATATATGGATTACATCAATATACATCAGAAAAGATAATTAACCTTGTTAAAGGATTCAACCCCTTAACCTACCCTTTTGTGGATCAGGATGAAAACCACTTTGAGGAAAAAAAGGGATCAACATTTGTTGAATGCCTCTTATGTTTTAGCCACTTTCACATGTTTTGTCTCATTTGAATTTCACAAAAGCCAAGGTTGGTTTGCTTATCCTCATAGTAAACAATAGAATCAAGTCTCTGAGAGTTAAGTACAAATATGCCTGAGGTCATACAGTCACCTGCCTGGAACTGGAATACAGCCCTTTCTCGAAATTTTCCTTATGCTTGTCTACTAGCTCTCTGATGAGGCTGGAAAATCCTCAGGAATTAAACTCATGGCCAGCTCATCAGAGGAGCATGTGGCATCCACAGGATACTTATTCTTGGTTGCCAATTTCAAAGACTTTTTTACATTGATGGGAAAGTTGGCTTATTTGGATTTACCTTAGGTTGGTCAGATCTCTTCAACATTATTTAATATACACACTCTGTTCTGGACTCGTGTCTTGTTCCACAAGTTTATGAGCACAGTTCCACAAGTTTATGAGCACCTACTGTTTCTAAATGTTCCCACCTAGGGAACCTTGCTCACCACTCTGCTTAACCAAACGTTACCCATGCATAAACCAATCTCACATATCTCAATTTGCTCTTAGTAAAACATTGCATTGGGTTGTGAACTATTTGGGGTTCTCCTTTATTATTTCATGTCTAATAGTCTTATAACCCCCCTCTAGATCTGAAGGAAAGGATGCTAACATTCTTTTCTTTGTGAAGATAAGCACAGTGCTAAATACACAGTAGCTACTCAAAAATTCAATGAACATTTATAAATAGCCTGTTGTGAAACATCTGGAGCAGAGTGTTACTCTTCAGAATCACAGAAATGTGAGTCGAAAGAGTCCACTGTGTAATGCATATGCCATCCCTAGTTTTAAGTACTACTTCTAGTCAGTGCACATCTTCAGATGTGAATCCTTACATTTATAAACTATTCAACAGGTTTCTAGTTCATTTGATATTCAAGTATGGTTAGTTCATTTGGACTACATCACTCCTAAGCTTTCTCCAACTGTAACTCTACAAATTTTCCTATTAGCAATGAGGCTCTGTCACATAATTAAGTGACCTGCTAGCGCTGGGAAATGGGAGCATCCAGACTCCAGCAGATCCCTCCTTGCAACCTCAACTAACCGACTCACATGCCATTCAATAAGCCAAATCCGTTATATCCTGTTTTACCACCACTAACACCTCACCGCGTTCTCCCTAAACAGTCCCAGTCCCACAGAATACAATTTCAATTTGTATAAATTGATACTAGACAAAATGACAAACTATCAAGTTGCTTAGTATGCATCAAAAGTAGTAAACCATAAACCATTTTTTGAAAAGTTAAAATGCATGTGATTAATAAATATTTAAAGTATATGCGACAAATGAAAGAGCTCCAAAATAATATTTTCATATCAGAAATAACTGACTTTAAAAAATTAACATTAATTACTGTTATTAAAATGAGGTCTTCAGAGACCTCATTTTTGTTTTGTTTTTCGAGTTAGCAAAACTCAGATAAAGCTGTATTTTTTTCCTTTCTCCAAGGACTGCTAGTCTTCATATTTTTATTGCATTTTCAAAGCAAAACTTTGATGTACACTTTTTTGAGAAACTCTAAGGCAAGCCATAAAAATACAATTATAATAATCAAGATAGTTTGGTAGGCAAGTATAGCAAGTATTAAACTCCAAAAAAGAAAATAAAGGCATAGAACAAACAATCATGGTCATAAATAAAAACAAATTTTGTGTTTTTTTGCTATTTGTTTGACTAAGATGTTTTCACCAGAGAATACTTTAATAACTACATGAATTTCCTTTTCAAAAAACTTAAGGAAGTTTTCTTAAGTAACTTTTCCAGAATGGTATACTATAAATTTGGGTACACAGATCCTACAGGTACACAAAACTATACTTACCTATGGGAAGAAAATGTCAGTTTTGAAAAAAAGGCTAAATTTACTAATTTACAGCTTGACATTTAATTCATATATACTTAAAAAACAGTGGATATGCAAAGTTTGGGCAGT